GGCTCAGATCTGCCATTCGTTTACTGAGGGCTGCCCGAACGCCGGACACTTGCAACTCTGCTACACTGCGACCCCTCGATTGCAGTTCAAAGGCCATCTGATCGATGATAAATTGCACCATTACCGCATGGCTTAAGGAACGATCCAGATTTTCTTCCTTCCTAGGACTCTTCGGTTCTATAACAGTTTCTGTTTGCGGGATGCCGGCAGAGTTGGAGAAGCTCGACAGTAAGTTATAAATTAAACGTATTGCGCCTACCTTTTGCTCATTTACATGCACTACCAGTCTCGGTAGATTACCAGATACCGTGACTGATGGAAAATTAGGATCCGAAGTAGTAAAGACACGTCGTTCAACTTGCAACGATATGTTGAAACGTTCGAGAAAGTGCAAGCTCGACATACTTCTCGTGCGAACATGCTTCCAATTGTCCTTTGTCTTACCTACTAAAATCTGCAGATCTACCAGATCGATAGAGTACTGATCATACAATTTCTTGTGCAACTCCGTCTCAGACAGGCCTTGGAAATCATGTAAGGAGCCGTTCTCCTGACTTCCGGGCGGAGTGGAGCAAGGTGTCTCAAATCTTTCATCTTCGTCATCACTATTAGTTGATTCTGTTTTCAGTATAACCTGATTCAGATTTGCATCATTCGATAAATGTAACTTGCCAAAATCGACCATCACCACGGCCGCATTGGAATCGACGAAGCTCTCCACCAATAAGATTTGTGGTGCAGAGATCTTAAACTGTAGATCCCAAGACGAACGATACACAAAGTCGCCGTCCAAAATCTGTTCCCAATTCTTAATCAACTGCCTCCTCGTGCGACGCTTCATCGCCTGGAATCGTTGATTGGATGATACCGATCGATGCGGCTTACACATAAAATCTATCAACCAGTATATCACGGTTGGATTGTACACAATATCTAAGGATTGCGAGTACACATGCAATAAATGATCTACATTAATATGCAGCGGTCTTTTCTCGTAAATCAGTTCAAATAAATGACGCGGCGTCTTCGTTAATTTCTCTGAAGAATTGCGAATGCGCGAAGATATGCCATTGGATGCGACTTGAGGTTGCACTAAAATAGGAAATGTAGAATTTTCCGTGAGAAAATCATGCAGGTACAACGCGCCCAAACTAATTGAAAACTTGTGCGACCCGGATCTGGGTCGTGACTCATAGCTCAAGTTCACTCTTTCGAACTTCAGTTCTATCACAGTTTTTCTACCGTTGCTTTTGTCTTTCTCAGTGCACAACGATACCGCGCCTTGCACCAGAGTGAAATTAAACTGTCCGAACACTGTGTCGCGACGTAAAAGAGTATCATCGTTCATGGTGTCCGCTAAAACATCTAATAATTCCCCGTCGAAAGTAGTCGAGCTACTTCCGTTTTGCGTTCCATTGCTGCTGTAAGGGGTCTTTGAGTACCAGCCCCACCACTGTGGAAACCATTGCTCGAGCATGCCACGTCCTTGTGGCACATTCATATTAAGTTCTTGTCGTGACTTTGCAGGTCTCACTTTCTCCATAGCCAATTCTCTCAATACCCGAAGCTCGTCAAAATTTCGCTCATTCTCGATCTTTTCCTTCAACGTTTTAATTTCTGGAGGTAAGATTGAGGTAGGCGTGCCTAGCAAAAAATATTTGAAAAAAAAAATTTTTATTTCAAGAATATTGTAAAAATTTATAGAAGTTATTAAAAAATATTCATTTGTACCTAACAATTTAGCGTACGCTTGAACGTAACAAATGTTTTCCCTAGCTCTAAAAAGTAAATTTTTCCAGGACGGTTTCGGTTTGAGTGCATCTCTGCCAAGATGACACCTGGCGGCATATTTCCACCATTTCTTGCAAGCTGTTTTAACAGGAACTACCGGCCTACAACGCCACTGTTGTTTACGACGATCTATACGATCAAGCTCTTTGATACACTTCACCATTTCTTCATATTGAAGCTAAAAAAATAATTCAAATTATATTGCATGAATCAATGTTTAATTGTATATCAATTACAGTTATCTGTAAAACTCTCACATCTGTTATAGATAATGGTACTTCGTCCAAGAGCAAATCTACTACGATACGCGGTTTATTAATAGACCTCAATGGACGTTCAGTTCTATCTCTCTTAATGTGCGCTCTTGCATTCACAGGTGATAAAATGTGCCGATGAATCTTATTTTTACTCATGGCGATCTAAAAATCAAGATTACAAAATATTATTGTTATAAAATATAGGTGTACGAATACGTGATTAACACGTTATCACGCTCACTGAGCTTTCTCATATCTTACAGCTAGATCGCCTAGATTAAGATCACCAAAAAGTTGATCTTTTTTCACATGATTCCAATAAACCGAAAGACTATCGAGTTCCATTAACTTAAACGACGCATCCGTAAGATTCCAAGATGTGGAACAGGGTATCCAACTAGCATCACAACTTTGAGTAGTTAATGCTCCAATTGTAATACCAAATGCAATACCATTATCTACATACAAAAAGATCAAAAGTTTTATTAGGAACATAATAATATCAATATTTAACAAATAAATTTTTGTTCACATTATATTCATACATGCATATATTAGGTGTTGGAATTAATTCGTAGCGTTTTACCATACCTAATATGAACGTCTTTGATATTTAATTGTAAATTTTCAATAATATTTGTTACTAGAGACGTGCCATAATTTAGCCAGGAACTATAACTTGAAGCATAATAACCAGGATCATGCTCTATATCAGCTCTCCATCTGGCTTCCAAAGCATCTAATCGACTGAGTTTATATTCTAGTATTGCTTGTTCCTCTGCTTCATTATCGTACTGTGAACATTTGTTTTTAAACTTATCAATATATTATATATTAAAACATATGTATAACATAAATACATCTATATATTTATATAAACTATCTGTCAATACTATTGAAAATCTATTAAAATTCTAAGAGATAATAGAAAATAGAACATTATTTTTACCTCGTCCAAATTAATTGGTCCTGCTACTAAATAGAGCTGCTCTATACCTATCACCCATGATGCGGTCCTTATCTGTCTGACTGGTACTTGTAATCTAACTTTACCAATAAACCCAGCTTTTACTTCCATTGGCAGCCCAATATGACGCAGAGCCTCACGTTTCAGGGGTAAGTTTTCTAGTTCAACTTCCCCTACAAAAAAGATCCATTAAGAAAATAACTCATATAACTGCAATAATACAGTTATAACATTGACTTTTTATATAAAAATAATATTAAAGAACTAAAGAGACAATATAGAAAACAAAGAAGATAATTACAAAAAAGATAATATAGAACACAAAATAAACTTATCTCCTATCATAAATCAATACATGTGTTCTGTTATATATATTATCAGTATATATATCCAAAAATCTAGCATCTCATGTTACATATACTATAGATTTTCAATACTGATAGTGAATGTCGAAACACAATATAATGAATATGACAGTGGGAAATGACAAGTTTTAGATCTGTTCTTTATTCTTGCTCTAAACTGTAGAACTTTTTTGTTTTCATCAAATATCGAACATATTAATTTCATTTTAAGTTCTAAAAGTGTACATTAATTTAGCTTATAGTTACAAATCTATAGAGTTAACAAATTATTCTTCAAATATATATATATATATATACATATATATATATATATATATATATATAATTATTCTGTAAACACTACACAAGCCTTATAAGGCTTTTATAGCAAAAGTAATAAATATAGTGTGACATAACCTCACCCGACAACAAAGCAATGCTGAGCTGATCCGTGTTCAAATTCTCCACATATTTGCCGAGATAATTGTTCAGCACCCAAGCAACGAGTCCTTCCAACATTTTGAACAAGCAATATCTTTGCTACTATCCAGCCGGAAATGTGTATGTGAATGCGCATAAATGGCCTCATAGGTTATGTTCTCTTATATTTTGTGCGAATTCCCGAAATCTGTGAAATAACAGCGCGTAAGAACGACATATTCCAACGATTCGTGCTTGACTTCCGAGTAAACGATACCTCTGATATCCCGACTTTTGTTGTATCCCTCATTAAAAATTCGTATTTCACTAACAACTTCGAGACCCATCTTAAATAACGGTTTCTTTTATTGATAAGCACCGTCAACAATTGAAATAATCATTGCGCGTTCGAAAAGCACAATATTTGTACAGCGTATATAAATCGATCTGCAATTGGAGAATACATTTTTCCATCTACCAATCAGATCCGTGTTGCGCGCTAGTAATGTTAGTTGATTCATCGAAATTACGCGATATGTCCAAACAAAATTTCTAATTCTCAGCAATATTCATCTTTTTCATTTTTATTGAACAAAATATTTTTGTAGTTTTTAATCATTGCCACTAGTAGAAAAACTACTGGACAATATAAAAATTATGCTCTTAAATATAAAATGCATTCTTCTGTAATTATTATATAATTTATCGAGTAATGCTTGTTTTCAATCTATTGTATCTATTGTAATAAAAATCTAGTAATTTTTATATCCCGTAGGTAGACATTTTATCTTCTTCTCATCAGCTGATTTACTAGGAACGAAGCAGCATCATTTTCAATGTTAGTTTTATTATTTTGATCTCTTTGATTTGTGACTTTTTGTGGAGGGATTGGAAGATCCAAAAAAAAGAGAAAAAAGAAAGTAAATATTTATACTTTGACATTCTCACTTTTGTTTTTACTTATTATATTTATATTTATTTTTGCGCGCCCCCTTAAACGTAAATCTCTTTAAATACATAATAAATTAAACATTAAATTAAATTTACGCTAAATATACAGTAAATGTATTTTTATCCAAATTAAAAGTGAGATGATTAAAGTAAATTTATCAAAAGAAAAATGAGAAGAAAACAATAGAGAAAAACAAGAACAATTTTGTTTTCTTTTTACTGATGGTAGTCAATTTTTCTATTTTCAGACGCGTTGCAAATAATTGTTAAAAATGTTCTACGCGTCGAGTCGATGGTCGATTCTCGCGATTCCATGCGTATCGACCGCGCAGTAATTCTAACATTTCCATAATCGCGAGTAATCTCGGCGAATGTGCGCGACGAGCGGAGACACGAGTGATAATCTGACAATGTGGCACCTGCGGCAAAAAGAGGACTTCTAACCTGCCTTCGTGCTGACTCAGGCTGAACAAGTGACATTATGTCTTAGAATACGGATAATTGGCATAGTGCACCGAGAAGAAACGCGCGTGTATTGTATATAATTATGTCTGCATGCGATATACGAAGATGAATCTACTGTCGGTCGTTTTTGGGGTCCTCTGCTTCCTGGACGTGTTTAGATCATCCTACGCGTGGGACAACGATGAGCTAGAGGTGTTCGACGTGGTCGAGGAGGTCAACCAAAATTTCTACGATGTACTGGGTGTTACGCAGGTATTTTCTTGTATATATATCTTCGGATGTACATTCGCGATGTTGATTAATTGCGCGAATGCACGCGCGAAGCAACAAGCCTGATTAAGATTGACGTAAATTGTTTTTCTCTTTAGTCTGCAAATGCCTCAGAGATCAAGAAGGCTTTCAGACGCCTGTCGTTGCAACTACATCCAGACAAAAACTCAGCGGAAGATGCAGAACTGCAATTCAGGAAGGTACTTTAGAAACTCGAAGATGTATGATATGCTGAAGTTCTTGAATTAACATCTTTGAATTTCTCTTTCAGTTAGTCGCTGTTTATGACATTTTGAAAGATCCTGGAAAGCGGCAAAAATATGATAATGTACTTGTTAATGGACTGCCCAATTGGCGATCTGCAGTGTATTATTATCGCCGTGTCAGAAAAATGGGATTATTGGAGATGAGTCTTATTTTGTTCACAGTTATCACGATAGGGCAATATCTCGTAGCTTGGGCGTCGTATTTTGAAAAACGGTACACTTGTGTGAGTAACATATCTTTATTACCAAGAGTCATCATTCTTTTTTTTATGTAATTAATATCAAAATTAATATTTATATATTATGATTACAGGAACAAGTTTTAGGCAGTAAACTTCAAAAACTGCAAAAAAAGAATAGAAAGAGCAAAATAGATGTTCCAGATTTAGCTGATATTTTAGAAAAGATTCCTATTCCAACAATGTGGAACACTCTTCCATTTCAATTACCAAAGTGGATAATAGGTTCCGTTATAGCTATACCTTCTACTATTCGCCTCATCTTTCAACTCTTGAAAGAGAGGAAAGAGAAGAAAAAACAAGAGGAAGAAGAGGCACTGTAAGTTTACAATTATTTCTCGTTATAATTTATATCTCTCATAAAAACCTAAATATTTGTTTCAGAGCACAAGAAAATGAACAGCCTGAACCAGAAGTAACGTCGCGTAGTATTAGGAAACGTAGGTCTGGTTTTACACCGCAAGAAAGAAGCAGTAATAATTCTAAGGAACCTGTAAAGAAAGAGGACTGCGATTACACGAATCATGTCTATGAGAAGCCAACGGTAGCTGGTGGCTTGTGGACTGATAATGATATATTAGAATTGATAAAATACGTGAAAAAATATCCTGGTGGAACTCCAGAACGATGGGAAAAAATCGCGAGCGTTATGAATCGTACCGTCGCGGAAGTTACGCATATGGCTAAGAAGGTTATTATTCTGTTACAATTAACTTTTATCTCACTGTTACAATCAATTCTATTTCTTAATAAATCGACTATAGAAGTTGAGTCGCGTATACTTTACGTTAGGTGAAAGAGGAAGGTTTGAAGTCTGCTGAATCAGTGGAAGAAGTTTCTGCGGAAGAAAAACCGAAGAAGATTAAGACCCGCAGTGAAAATATAGTCAGTACTGCTGAGTGGAGTCAAGAACAGCAAAGGACATTAGAAGCGGCTTTAACGAAATATCCCAAAGGTACATCTGTAGATAGGTGGGAAAAAATTGCAAATTGTGTCGAGGGGAAAACAAAGGTATAATTATTTATATTATACTTCTCCTTATGGAATATATAGAAATGTGTAAACCTTCATCTATCATTATAATTTTAAAATTATATTGCTTGTTTACAGGAAGAATGCCAAGTACGCTATAAACAATTGGTGGAATTAGTGAAAAAGAAGCAGCAATCTCAATAGTTCAATTTGTATAGAATTCTGTTTTCTCGAAAATGTACTTTGTACCGTTGAGCCAAGAAATAGTATTACTGAACAATACCATAAGTATGAAAGTGGAAAAAAAGTGATATTTCTTGATTATAAAAAATATCAGTTCGTCTAGAAAATCATAAATTTCCTACAAATTCTTTTATACAAATGGTGCGTCGACTGTGTTATATATAATATGAATATGCGTCCTTGAAAAAACTCTGTTATTATAAAAAAGTCAGAAATGAATTTAAGAAAAGAAAGAATAAATTAAATAGGGAAATCCTTCCTATGTCATCTTATATTAAATGTTATCGAGAATGTATTTATTTAATAAATTTAATAATTAATTAAGAGGGGAAAGACTGAAAGCGTATAATCTTAAAACAATGCCCTCTTCTCTAAGAAGACTTGATTACTCAATGTATCATACCTTATCAAAGTAATTTCTGATGATAAACGAAAAATATCGAAGATCTAATATGATGTGAATGAATATGATTATATATTTACAATGTTTACAAGTATGTACACTACAGAGATCTGTAAATAATCCTTTTTTATAACTGCATTCTTGTACATAATTTCATAATTACGTTACATTTCTCCAATTTCAGAATGACATTATAATAAAATCAATTCAATATCTTCGTATCTTAAACTATCTTATTCCTTATTTCCTAATAACAAAAAGTTTTTTTTACATGTATCGAAAATGTAATATATTGTACGTGCAAAAAAATGTTTTCTGTTCCACAAAATCTTGTCACTATAAGTACAAGCTGTTGCTGCATAAAAACGATAAAAATAGTGAACGCTAAGATTGCTTGTTCTATATCTCTACAATTTTCAGAAAAGTGAAACGCCAAGTCAAATTACTGTACTGAAATAATATTTACACAGATTATAAGCGTGTTCTTTAATTACGTCGCCTGCGGACTCGCGATATTCTCCACGCGTTCGGCTCTTCGTACTTATTGTAGAGTGGTTCCAGTCTTTGATTCTTCTTAAACTTGCTAAGTTTGGTCGGATCGCTGAACTTGAAGAATGCGGGTGCAAACTCTACCAACCATTTCGGATCGATCGTCGTCACCTCTCTCATGTACTCCTTGGTAGTCTGTACCAATTCGTGATAGATTACCCATTCTGGCTGGCGATTGAACAACGCGCTACTTGGATGAATGTACACCACTTGGCTGTCGACTAGCGTCCTGTAGCCCTCTTGTGGATCTTTTTTCGCAGCGTTTCTGAAGAATCCCGAGCACACTGCTTTCTGTATCCGCACTGTATTTTTACCGGCTGACACTACGTCCAATTTATGCCTGTCCATTATACCCAGCAATTGCTTACGCACATCCTGGGCACGCTTCAATGTCCTTATCTGCACAAAATTCTCGTAGCACCAGGCGTTACTCAACTTATTGTTCTTCCAGGAATTATAGACTGCCAGTAGAGTCAGGTGATCGCCTTCGGGTTGATTGAACTTGGCTTTCTTCTGATCGGCCAAAGCCTGCTTATCCTTCGGTCGGTAGAAAACATTTTGAACGGACAGCATACTGACGATAGTTAGAATCTCGTCGGAGCATTGAAGATGCACGCTCATGATTAACATTTTGGACAGATTCGGTTCCAGCGGGAATTCTGCCATTCGTCGACCCAGCCGTGTAAGTAGACCCTCGTTATCGAGAGCGCTCAAACTGTGCAACGACTCCAATGCCATGATTAGTGATTCTACTGGCGGCGCATCCATGAAATCAAAATGCAAAAGATCGTTGATACCCATAGTTTTCAGTTGCAGCACAGTGGTGGCCAGATTCGTACGTTGTATCTCCGGGACCGGTGTTGGTAGCATCTCGTCTCTATAAGCTCGTTCGGTGTAAAGCCGATAACACTTTCCTGGTCCGGTTCTGCCAGCTCTTCCGCTTCTCTGTTTTGCTGCCGCCTGACTAATCGGCGTTACTATAAGACTGTCCATGCCGGTCTTGGAATTGTAAACTTTTTGTTTGACAAAACCTGGATCAACGACATAATATATTCCATCAATCGTTAGACTAGTCTCAGCGATATTCGTGGCAATGACGACCTTGCGTGAGCCGGGCGGCGCCGGCTCGAATATTCTAGTCTGCATTTCTGAAGGCAAGGCTGAATAAACCGGGAGAATAATTAGCTCTGGTACATCTGGACCTAGTGACTTCATGCGCTCGTAAAGGATCTCACAGGCAGTATCAATCTCCTCCTGACCAGTAAGAAAGAGCAGAATATCGCCTGGCGGCTCACGTAGATGAATCTGCATGACAGTGATAAGTGCAGCGTCCAGATAGTCAGTCTCTGGCTCCTTCGTATACATTACCTCGACTTCGAATGTACGTCCGGGTATGGTGAAGATTGGTGCCTCGAAGAAGTATTGTGAGAACTTGACCGCATCCAGAGTAGCGCTGGTAACGATCAGTTTGAGATCGGGTCTGCGACCTACCGCCTGCTTTAGCAGACCGAACAGCACGTCTGTATGTATCGTTCGCTCGTGCGCCTCGTCCAGCATAATTACCGAATATGTTTTCAGATCAAGATCCATCAGACACTCACGCAACAACATACCATCCGTCATGTACTTGATACTAGTTTCTGGCCCGGTGCAATCCTCGAAACGGATGGTGTAGCCCACCTCCTGGCCCAGGCAGCAACCAAACTCCTCCGCCACTCTCTTAGCCACACTCATCGTTGCAACACGACGCGGTTGCGTACAGCCTATTTTGCCGCGCGCAGTGAAACCGGTCTCCGCTAGATACTGTGTGATCTGCGTCGTCTTACCCGAGCCGGTCTCTCCAATTACAATTAGAATCTGATTGTCCGTCACGGCTTTCACCAGATCATCGCGCAGCTTATAGATTGGCAAGCTCTGACGTTGCTCTAACAGTGTCAGATTAGTCTTCTTGCCGAACGATGACTTTTTACCGCCTATCACGTGCTTCTTCCACTCGGGTAGATCTTGCGTTTGTAGACCAATGCCACGCATGTTCGCCGCCAGAGTACGACTCTCCGCTTCAGGTAACGGATCTATCCAATTCTTATTCAGGCCGGTGGGCACAGAATCCATCTCCTGCTCGCGCTGCAGCATCTTCTGTTCCCTTCGCTCCTTTGCCAGAGCGCTCTGCATCATCGCCGCCTGCGCCAGCGAGCCATCCGGATTTTTCACTATCCTCACGGGACTGAGATCACCCAGTGCTCTGCCGTGACCATGCAGGAACGGCGGTTCCTCTTCGACAAGCTCGATCTCCACGTCCTCTTCTTCGTCGTCCTCTCGTGGCAAAATTCCAGTCTCCGTGTCGAATTCTGGCAACTCGCTCCTGTCAATGCACGATGCAGCCAGCATCTGCTTGATCTCCCACTTCTCCGGCGACGATAAACGTTGCACGCGCTTCCTTGAGTACGTCTCGTCCTCGTCGTAGTTACCTTGAAGCTCCAGCAAAGAGGTAGGCCTATCTGGATTACGTAAATGCTTTTCGTCTTCGTCGGCCTTCGCGATTGGCACTACGGGATTTAAATCTCTCCCGGTTTCCTGATCGACGTCTTTCATACTGAGAGATACCTTCTGTCCACCGACACTGAGAACTTTCACTAGAACTTTCTGTCCTCTGGAGACCACGTCGCTCGCGTTTGCCACTCGACCCTCCCGCCTCAATTGAGAGATATGAACCAGGCCCTCCCAACGACGTCGCAAACCCTCCAACTGAACGAAACAGCCGAAAGGCACGATATTCGCGACCTTACCCGCGTAAATCTTACCTACCTCCGGTTCCGCGGAGAGCGTTTCTTCGGCGGAACGGGATCTGGATCGGTCGGCGTCACGTCTCCTCGAGTGTCTCGTATCTTTACGATCGCGAGACGACGATCTCTTACGTTCTCGGGATCCGGATCGTCTCCTGCGTGCTCTGTCACGTGATCTGTAACGTGTCCGCGATCGGGAACGCGTTCTGGATCTGCGCCGCCTCTCTTTTCGATTCGACGATCTGGATCTGTGACGCCTTCTGTCCCTTGACCTGCTTCTACTCTTCCTTTCCCGCTTGCTCTTTTTCTCGCCGTTGTCAATCTTACCGTTACTTTTCTCAGTATTCGCAGATTGTTTCTTGTTAGACGGCGCGAACGCTTCTAGGGAGGCCATAACATCGTTGACGATATCTTCATCATTAGTCTCGGAACGTGGATCGTCATTCGGTAACGCCAGCGCTGGAAATTTTATCGCCAATTCGTCCTGCTTATTCTTAGACGACTTCTCGGTGGACGATTTCACGGGTTTCATATGCTGTATTATTCTGAGGAGATTCGCTATGAAGGAGTCCGAGAACTCGGCTCCATTCTCGATCAGTACCTTCTTGAATGCTGGAAATGTCTTGTTATTTTCAGCTAGATGTATAATAAATTCAGCCAAGTCCTTGTCGTTCAATCCCAAATGGTTCTCCAATTCTGTGCAGATTTTTGACACCAGAGATAGATGTTCCAACTGATTAACCTCCTCCATTTTATTCGCACAAGATATTTTGTGATACACTTCTTAATTTCTTAAACCTGGATACTTGATTTTTGCGATACTATTATTAACGTTGACAAAAGCTTCTCGATCAAACGCTTGTTTTCCATTTATAACTCCGTATTACAATTGTTACAAGCTATGATGCAAGTAGACTACTTGCATCAACTTGCATCATGATTACAAACTAGAAATTGCTAGAAATTGCTAGAAATTGCTAGAAATGATGCAAATACAGGCAATCAGAGTCATCAGAGAATTATAATAGCGTCTAACCTAACTTTTACATCTCTCGCGCCATCTATACGTTCATTTACTTGGAACCTTGACATATCGCCATTTCGTTGATAACGTAAAATTCTGTAATACAGCGGCGTGAAACTGAAAGTGCTGTATTTTACCGGTAAAATAGTTCCTGTGTTATTAAACCTGTGGAAAAAATGTGGTTATGAATTGTTTACTTCATAGAGGAGATTGTTAATTTACTCCTTTTTGGTTTACTCAAAGATTTGGATGCTGCTACGAGAATTTGATTGTTTACCTGTAATAAAGGATTGATAAAATTCAGTTTGAAATGCAGGCTGTCAACGAGGAGAGAGACGAAGCCACGGAACTTTCTTCGAATAACAGCGACCGAGTCGAAACCATACGAACGGAATTGAGGGAGGCTGTCTTAATAAAAAGAAAGGAGAATCGTGTGTCCGCCTGGAACAAGAGTCGCACTAATTTGGGAGAATATTCTGGAGTTGAATTGTTTTCTATCGAGTACATCGACAAGAAAGTAAAACTTCTCAAGAGGAAAAGAATATCTCTTGCGGATTACAGATATTTGCCCAATGCTCTTATTCAGGTATTCTCACTGAAGTAATTTTTATCAAATATCATATAAAATTATATTTTAATCTTATAAAATATTTTATAGAATATCTTATAAAAATATAATCAATATCTAGTGGCTATAATGAGCAATACAGATTGTATCTAAGAATTACAATTCAATTTATTGTTATATTCTGTACAAAAAGTACAAACGTTTTGACTTACTTTATCAGTATCCAAAGTATAGATTTAAAAAATTCATGAACCTTCTATTAGTCTTGTAAAAATGTTATAAAATTAGATTTTATAAAATGTTTTTCAAGATTGATATTCATGATGCAAGCAGCAAATTATATATATATATATGTATGTATGTATAATATGTAATATATAAAATAATATATGTGGTATTTTATATTCGTTTTAGTTGGAGGAGAATATAAATGCTTTTTTAAAAGTAGATCAAAGCTTATCGAGCCTTGTGCGTGACCTATCTGGCAATGATCCAATTTTTCAATTATATGCAGCTAATTGCTGTTGTAATATTGCTTTAGGAAATACGAAAGCATGTACAGCATTGGGAAAAGCAGTTATACCATATCTGGTTGTCAAATTAGAAAGTTTAAATTATGCGTTGCTGGTAAGTTTCTTCAGTATTAAGTAAAAGAAATAAAATAATAAAAAATAATGAAGTAAAGTGAACTTGAAGTATATGAATTCGTGTTTTATTAGGATGTTTGTATTTGGACAATTGGTAATTTAGTTGCAGGAAGCAATAAGGCTTTCTCTATTTTGCATGCTCAGCATTGCCTGAAATATGTAATTTTATTGTTACACAATTGTGACAACTCAGTTCTTCCTTCTGTAATATATGCGCTCTTACATTACATATATGTGGGATTTCACAAGATATCGTAAGTATTATTCACTTTTACACATTGCAATATAAAAATGTAAAATTTAAGAGAAAATTTAATATATTGTTCTGATATTTATAGAGAAAGTGAAATGTCAGAGCTGATTGAAGTTATCATAAAACGGAATCTCTTGTACAAAAATCCTAATTATATTTGGTTGTTAGCTTTATTGTCTTCTTCACCAATATGTACTGAATCTTTGTACACTATCTTGCCACAAGTCGTTGACTATCTTTACGTAACATTTTCCAATTCAGATGGAATCGTTGAAGCCAGCGAGGTTTGCTTTTTTTTCTTTATATAACAAAATATGAAATTTTCTAATATTAAGAATCATATTTTTAACTCAATTTTAGATTACAGCATCTATACGTATTCTAGCTAACATATTGCATAATTCCTATGAAGATAGAATAGATATTCTTTTGAGGAATCCGAAATACTCAAACGAAGATTTATATATTTTATTGAATAAATTATTATCGCATCCTTATATGCACATTAGAAGAGAAACTATGTGGTTAATAGGTAATCTTATCCCTTATATATATATATAGGGGATCTTTTTTCAATATTTTTAAAAAAGATATGGAATAAGAATGAAATATAATTATATTCTAATTGTTATAGGAAATTTGTACAATCATAAATCATCCAATGTTAGTAAAAATATAAGAGATCTTATACCTTTTTTATCAGCATTGAATCAGGCTTTTTCCTCAGTTGAAAATTCTGTATGAGTATAAATGCACATTAAAATGACATCTTATTTCAAAGAAAGGTACATTATGCTTATAAAAATAAATTACGTGATGCAAATATAAAAATATATTTATATCCCTTTGATTGTATATACAATTCTAAATATTAATTTCATTTATCATTGGTCTATATACATATGTTGCTAGTATCTTATAATTAATATTCCCTTTTTACAGGTACAAATTTTCTTAATGGATATCGATTTCTTCCGATATCTTCTATACACGGCACTTTAACGATATTAAAGTATATTTGTCCCATAAAATTTGCTGTTGGATGGTTAGCAGCTTTTAAACATTGATAAAGAGTTTGGTCGCAAGTACAATGTGATCTGTAAAATGTTAAACACTTAAGACTGATTGTTTTATGGAAAGAACTTTGAGACAATTAACAGAGATAATTTTTAAGGTAAAGATAATTTTAAATTTTAGCATGACAAGAAAATTTAGTAATTAATAATAATATGATATATTAATTTAGACACAAACTAAAACTTAAATTTTTTATCAAACACACAAATTAAAACTTTTTATCAAAATAGATTAATTGGTTTTTTTTACCAATTTCTGATAAGATCTTACTTAGTGAATATTGAATAATTAGTGAGATTGTATCGGGTCTGTTGGGCTCGTACTTTTATTGGACAGAGATCGTGATTACGACAACATCTGAAAAACAAAAATTTGTCTTATTTCCCTGATATTTGTAAAAATTGGTAAATTAAGGTTCTAAATTTCAACCTATCAATATGAGGTAAATCGCCCAAGTCATGATAATTTTCGGCTATGTCGCCCGTGCCGCACCATTTTGTACCTGGAATATGTACATATTTAGTCTTTGTCAACAAATTTTACAATTCTGCGGATGCGTTTGAAATTATAATGAACTATTAACCTGGCAGAATGCCGGAAAACAGAGTTATGGAACTCGCGGCTATGCGAGTTCCTCTACTTAATGCGTTTGTAGGCAAAGTGGACGTGGCCTCCACCTGTAATTTGTCCAACAATTCACATTGTTGCATGAGTCTCGTTATCTCCTGGAAGGACACCATTTGTGGATATAAAGTCATTGATAAGTTTCGCAAAACTTCTGTAGCCTCAGACGGCTCACTGCAAGAGTCAATAATGCGTGTCAAACATTACATATAAAAAGAAATTATATGAAAGAAATGATTATATACAGGGTGTCCTTAAATTTCACGAATCAAAATACAGTAAGGTTTCAAAAAATTAAATAAAAATGTTATCCATAAATTTTTATTTTGAGCAATAATTTGAAATAATAAGGCTTATTTAATGATCAATTACGAACTCTATTTTTAGACGGATTATGTTTAAACACCAAAGTGCGTACTTACTAATATTGCACATGTGACGGATTCATGGACAGATGACCGTTTAAACATAATCTATAATTGGCTATATTTTGAACTTTTGTATTTCAAAAACCATTGTTTCAAATAAAAATGTATATATAATTTTTTTATTTAATTTTTGACAAATTTTCTCGCTATGGTATTTTCATTCGCGAATTTCGGGACACCCTGTATATATACATAATTAGCGAAAACCGGTTTCAATTTCTAGTCTAATTATATAATAGTTTTTTGTGTGCATTATTGTGATGATGACCACACTTACTATACTTCGATTATATTACAATCATGTAGTTCATTTCTCGGTCCGAGATCGACTACCGCCACTGTCTGTTCATGATAATAAACGGCTCGTATCTCGTCTTTCATGAGTGCAACGGCGCTTGGTGTGAGACCGCTCAACCCCTTGAATGTGCTTCTGAAGAACGTTGGCTGCTGAACGGTCAAGTTGCATATCGACACGATAAAGAAAGCCGTTAAGCACACCGAATACATTTTCCTTCGAACTATCGATCTTCCTTCCGTTTTATTATGTTATTAGTCAAGTATAATGCGAACAAACGGAGACACAACATAAAATTTTGTTTGCAAACTATATCAAAACTAACAAATAAAAAATATATTCGCATCTAGAGAGTGATTGTACACCGCAAGTGATTTATGCCATTATCAATCAACAATTGATGATGGAAGTCAATTTATTGTGGATCTCCACATAGCTTCGTTCCATTTGTCACTTTATTTGAAAATAATGTGATGTGCCACGTATGTATAAATGAACTCGTGCAATCCACGTTTGTAATTGCCGCATAATACGCGGTTTTATAGTTTCTTAAATTTTTCATATCATATGTTTTAAAATTGCCTTTACGATGCACAAAGTTTTTTCGAAGTCCTCGTACAAATATGAACATTATCTAGCCATCTGCAGAAACGTATAGCGATCTTTTGAAGAAGATTCTAAAATAAAAAAAAATACACTCACATAATGAATCGGTCCCTTCGAAAAGTTTGCTTCAAATGAAGCCGAACTTACCCCGTCGCGTTACTTGAAATATTATTTGGCACATCATATATGTATTTTTATGGAAGAAAAACAGTAAATTTTGCGAAGATACTTTAAACTCTACGCAAAAATTGTCCGTTAAAAAATGGATTGATATCCTTAACTTGACCGATACCGTTCGCCAGAATCGATCGACTGATCAGATTTTTTGCGCGCGAATGGTGTGTCCATAATTATAAGGCACTATCTATTAGTTGAACAAACCGAACTAGCCGATCGAACGACTGAATGTGTTAGCGCTAGTATGACATTCGCGTACAACTCCCTCCCACGATCTCGAAGTATTACCTGGTGGTAGCAGTAACAGACACTTAGTGGGGAGACCTACATTCGCAGGACTAGGGCGAAGAAAGTGGGACGAAACGGCGGAATACGGGTAGTTGTAACTGCAAGTTTGCAAAATCCTACAAACTTGGAAAAAAGAGAAGCAAACTGCATTTTATCGGATTTCTTCATGATCATAAACAAACGACTCGTCAAAAGACATTTGATAAAAACAATATATTTTGCATAAAAGTCTAAAAAAATGACACGAATAAGACACAATAGTGTCTGAAAAAGCGACAGCGTCTTAAAAATGAAAATCATAAAAAATGTATCTTGTTTATATATTATGTAAATATATGCTGTGCAAATTTTTTGCGGTCGAGATAGCGTGTCTCTATAGAAGAGCATTTTTATTGTACGCAATGACGATGCCGACGATTTCCACATTTTATAGAAAGGCACTGTAAATCTCTAAATTTCACTCGTGAATCATAATAGATCGTTATGCAATGTAGAGATGTTATGCGCTTTCATTGACATTTCGAAAAGGATGCTAATAAGACCAATACTTCTCTATGCTTTTATGCGGGGTCTACAATAGAAGTCGTAGCGGTCTTAAATCGTAAAAAATGTATCAATCACACTTAATTATTCTTCTCATATTCGACTGTGATTGTTCAATTTTCTAAGACTTAAGACCTTACGACCGTTAGAACTTCTGTTGTAGACTCCGCATAACTCTGTAAATGACGTTGTTTAACAGTGTCCTTGTCTCAGAGAATGGCACGAGGGATTCGATTTATTTGTAGCGCTCGCTGGATATTGAACCCCACTCGTGCTCAACGTAATGCTCACGGGAGTCGCATTAGACAGCTGCAATCTGACTGGGCACTGTCTATATCCTGTAATAAAAAATGGAAACACATTATAGTCGTGCCGTATATGAATGTAACACATCGGTAATTTCAATAATACACGTGAACTTTGGTGATAGATTATAGGATGGAAATAAAAATGATTTGTTATCACAGTTCAAGTACAAGACAGTTTGCAAAACCAGGTAATTTATTATACAAGTAGGTACAGATTCCGATTCAATTCTTGGAGCGAATTCTAATCGAGTTCCACATATTACGACAAGAACCTTCTTTTTTTATGTTTCCTGTTTTTATGTTACGATAAATTCTTTTTTATGTTTTTTATCTTAAATTATTCAATACTGCATTTATATTATTAATGAACAGAAAATTAATAGAAAGGAATATTTGTTATCATAACATATTGTTATCATGATGCAAGATGATTTGCATAAAACGTAATTTCTTTATCACAATTCAATTTTCGAAATAAATTGTGGTCAACTTTCACATTTCACACATTTTTTTAATGACGAGAAATCGACTTTTTCGATCCGCGCTGGTATCTTTCACTTTCCAGCTGTTGTGTACTTAATTTCTATCATCATTCGATTAACATATATTTATCAATAACAGCTAAGGAACAAAGCGATTGCTTGTGAATGTTAGAAACATATACAAGTACCAAGAAATAAATACATAGCAAGAGGTATACATTTTTAATACAATTAAATTATACACACAAAAAATATTGCTTTGTTCGTTATCTTTTCATCATAAATATATAATGGATATTAGTGAGAGATGAACAAGAGGAGAGACAATCCTCTATAAAAAAGGATTTACCGGCGTGGTGGGGCCCGGAGCAATGGCAACATATAGGATTATTCCGCGGCCTTGGACAAAATTCAACGCTGTGTGGTTCGCCGCAGCGGACGCAGCGAGGCAAATGTCGGCAATTAGCGGCTACGTGCCAGAAACCCTGACATCGGTAGCATTGCAATACATTATCCGTTTGCGATATATTTTCTTGATATGCTTGTGGGATATTGTTTCCATCGTTTGCATATCGTGAGGGTATACCGGACGAGCACGCGGTGCCTCGCCACCAGCGTTCTGGAATAGCATTAAAACGAGCCACTTCGAAAAAGTCCAGTCCTTGACGTAACAAAGCTTCGTAATGACTTGCATCAAAAACCTAAGAGACAAAAGATCAATATTTTTTATTTTTTTATCAAACTCAGTTATATTATATTTATTTATTACATATGTTATATTTGTATATTTTCTTACATCATACTTATATTAACGGTTATATATAGTCGATATAATTTTGTTTCGATCTTTATCTTAATCCTGACGAAAATAAAAATTGAAATATAAAATGTAAGGGAAGAGTGACAGAAGCGTAAACAAAGAGCTTCTATTAAGAAAATTGAGACATCATAAAAGAGGCGTTTACGCTTCTGTCGCTCTTCTCTTACATTTGATTCTCGGTTTTTAGTTTCGTCAGAAAATATATTTATCTTTTTATCGTATATTAGGTGTAGAAAGAAATCCATTATTTTTCCAATAGATGGCTTTCTTTTTACTACACTTAATATTATATAAATTTGTATATTATACAAATAATGTCGACTGTTTTTTCAAAAGTTGACTTACAAAACCGGTTATGTATAATCGTAGATGTTCTGTAGAATTTCATTATGAGAACTGGTTTAGAATTGCACAATATTCTATTATACATTCTATTTTTATATGAATTTAAATAATGATATGATATGCGCATCTCAACTGTCATGTACATTTTAATTTTATTCTTGATGCTCGACAAGGAACGTTTCTATTGTTTTAAATTACTATTTCTTTATCTACACAATAGAAATGATAAGATGTTATCACAGGCTAATTTAAAAATAGAAAATAAGTATTCTTCATACTTCTACTCGAACGAATTGTCGAGAACGTTCAACATTTCCTGCGACAATTCCTTGCTTTGCCAGAGCCGAATTTATATCCTGCAGCGGTATAGCCCATGGCACGTCTCTCAGAAGCACGGCTTGACGATATCGGGAATCTCTTGCCGAAAATCGTGCTACCTGATGAAAATAAATTAGTAAAATATATCAATCAAAAGATTAACGTCTAGAATTAACGTCTAGATTTTATTTAAAAGTATTTCAGTAGATTATTTAGTTCAAGAATTGACGTTTTAAATAACATAATTGACGCAACAAATATAGCTCCAAAATGATAAAATATTTGAAATATCTCAATAAAAAAAAAACACAAAGAAACAATAAAATACACTAGAAAATTTTACGATATCTCAATTTTTTATATCTCTAACATACATTTTATAATAAGCCTTTTATTTAAGCTTTAAATCTTAAGCTGTATATAAGAAATTGATTAGTTACAGTTGAATATAAGAAGAATAATCGACTAGTCAATAATTGATTAGTCAATTTCTTACGGTTTAAGATTTAAAGCTTAGGTAATAGTTTATTGCAGAAAGCCTATATGTAATGTTGTGTAAAATGCATCGGTAAAATCAAGTGTAAATAAACTTCATACTTGCACTGGTCCTCCAAACACTCGAGCTAAGTCGCCGCGTTGCAAGAGTTTCTCGGCATCGTTTTCTCGTATGAAAGCAGCTATAAGACCACATGGAGTCTCAGAGACACGCCACATCGACAGCGGTTCGGAAGTCGCTATAGCTTCTTCGAGATGAGTTCGCAGCAGTTCGCAATCTACTCAAGGAATGAATAATAAAATATCGATCTAAAACTAAAGTAAGATTAATAGAAAATATTAATGTTTGCTTATTTGAATGTTTTTATACTATTCAATTGACATTGTAAAGTGAATATTAAATTTTGATAATTAGATATTATAGTCTCGTATTACTATTTAAATTAAATTTATATATATATATATATTAGGTGTTGGAATTAATTCGTAGCGTTTTAAAGCTTGAAATCTCTACTTTCGAATGGTTATTATATTTTTTAAATTTATGTTAGTTTAATTTATGTGTTTTATAATTTTTACATATAGAAAACTACGAGTTAAGTAAAAGGAAGAAGGGGAAGTTTTTTTTTCATTTTGTAGGCCTGTCACATGTCTAAAAAAATTTGCAATTTTTGAATTTCTAATGTAAAAGCTTAAAGTTTTCCCTAAATAAAATCGTTTTTAAAAAAATGTCCCTACGATTTTTTATTACTGAATTGTTGCGAATTAAATAAAAAGAATATTTTGACTTTGATTGCTCATAACTCCATCAAAATTATCACGATTTAAAACAACAAATTCTTAAATTTTCTTATCAGATAGAGTAAGATTTAGATTTTATTTACTTTATTTTATTTACTTTATTTTTAACAAAAATAGTAGCTGTTTGAATTTTGAATAATAAATTGGGCACGAATTTTTGCATTCACCTAATATATCCATAAATGTGATTATAAATTAGATAGTAGAACGCAGTTTTTTTCAGAATGCAGCAAATATTGTATTATCACCTTGGACCCTGTGACTTTGTTCTTGAAAGCCGCCAGCACGCGAAATGTATAGAGAACACGTAAACTGTGCCTGCTGTTGCATAGCAGGAGCTTCATTACCATGCAATGTCGAATTTAAATCTTTTTTATCTGTCTGATGATTATTGTCTCCAATCTTGCTTTGCAATGAAGAGTTTGCTACGGCCTTCTCCATCATGCGTGTCACGTACTTGTGACTGTAACTTGAATTTATACGTAGAATTAATTTTTTTGTACATAGTTTTCAATATATATATATATATATATATATATCGTGTATTAAAAATCTATTACAATAAATCTATTATAATAAATCTATTACAATATTATATATAATCTACATCTCATTTCACCTTGATTATGGAAAACAAATAATAAGAAGCAAGATATAACTTACAATTAGAAAGAAAAAGTTTATTTTTTTTTGCAAATTAGATATTGCACATCGTAAAGCGAGTAAATATTTATTATGTAAATAAATATTTTACGCACTAACCACGTTGATATGGTTGACAATAATATGGAATAATTCAGGTCATTATTGATTGTGATAACGGTTCCATTACTAAATTATAAATAACTAGTTCTTAGGATCATTATCGAGACGGTCATTACAGGTATATCTTTATACCTACAACTATTTGGCCTTTTGTTATCGATACCTCGTATCACAATTATTTTGTATTTTTTTTTTCATGCACAGTTTCTTCGTCGTTTCTTTGTAGCATTGTAATGTAATTTTTCCGTTGTAGCTATATTTTAAATTTAACGCCAAAAGAAGAGCATGTATTTGCTCATTATTCACGATAATCGCCTTAACGCGATTTTGCGTTTGTAATTATATATAATATTATGAATTAAGAGCGCGATCGCGAGAGTCACAATCGTGATCGCTCGAGGCTCGGTCGACCGATAGGCTCATTGAGATGGATGTAGCGAATTGGATCCAGGAGTGATGTCGATTTACCTTGAACGGCTTGTCTGTTTCCTCGTTAGCGCGGCAAAACGCAGCTCGAGCATCGGGAGGATCAGGGAAGAGAACGCGGCCCATGCTGCCAGGCGCCATTCGTCGCGTCTCGCCTTAATCGCCTCACTTCACGGCGATGAACGGCAACATTTAACCCCAACGTCACGCCATCGCTGCTACGTTCTACAAAATTAAGCGAAGAAAATATCGAAACTGTAACGCATTTTCCCATTGTACATATATAATATTATATATATTAATATAATAATATATATAATAATTTATATATATAAAATATAATAATATCTCCAAAACAGTTCTAATAAAGATGTTCACTAAGCATCCTAAAATATCTCTTCGATAAAGTAAAGACCACTTTTATATGTAAACGTGCGAAATGCGATGTAAACTACTTTATGACACTACTTTCTAGTACATTATTGTCAAACCTACACAGCACAAGCTCCGATTAAGTTCTCAGGGAGTTAATTCATTTTGCTGAGTTCTTGGGGAGTTTACAAAATTCAAACAATTAAATAATTGTTATGTTCTAACTTTGAAAAATCTTAATTCGTTTTTAATTTTCAGACAATTTTGAAAATTATTATGTTACAATATAAATTATATCAAGGAGGGAAAAAACGAAAAGAATTATTATTTATGCAACGCGAAAAAAAGAGGAAAGAAATCGCGGAAATAGTGCGAGAATAAAGCGTCGCATATAATCGTATCAGATCAGCTGTTCTTTGCTTTTTATATAGTTTATCTTTCTTTTTTTTCAACTTGAAGAAAAAGAAGGAAAAATGAACCATGCAAGAAGTTCAATTAAAAAGAATACTCTTATTATATTTTGATATTTCAGTATCAATCCAAAGCGTTTATTCTAACAATTTTTGAACGAAGAAACGATTAATCGAAAAGACGAAAATCAATCAAAATTAATAACCAAGTCGATAACATAAATCTTTAATTTTATCGATCGTGGATAACAACATTATCTTTTTTTCGACGGTAGATAACATAGATCACTGCAATAATGCCATACCTCAGGATATTCCGAGTTGCTCCGAATTCAGCAAAGTTCAAACTTCAGACAGAGCGTTCGTGTTCTTGTTGTCAATTCGAGAATGATCAATGATCGTGAAGTAAAAGCCCGTTCGAATTGTATTTAGTTTTTGTATTTCGGTAACACACGTTTCGCGATAAGGCATCAAAATGATGATGGACTATTTTGTGACGAACAATTCCTTAGCACCCGCACCTATGGGGATACAAAGTACCGCGGGTGCTGTGCCCGTAAAGAATGATAAAGGTTAGCTTATGTTTGTCAAAATGAAAGATTTATTTAACATCCATTTCAGCGAATCTCACAAACGTTTTAAAATTAAAAAAATGATGCATGTCCCTTTCTATCGATGCAAATTAACTTTTAGTTTAGTTCAACTTACTCTTCATTTTCTTTTAATTATTAGAATTAAGAAAAAATGAAGTGTCATTGAAGCGTGATTATAGTTCAACTATTTTATTGGTAGAAATAGACAATATTGATAGAATGTAATTTATTATCAATGGTCTTCAAAATTGAAGAAAATTTACAAAATAATATATAATTGACATTTTTGTTCAATCTTGAATTCTGATATTTTCATGATTTACACATATGTTTTATTTTTATTTATTTTAATACCTATTACAAAATTATACATTTATTAAGAGATTTGTAAATTATTTATGTTTCGCAGTTAGATTATAATTATCTGTGCACAACAATGATTAACAAACAAGATATTTAGAGTGAAATATTTAAAGATGCAGAACAACATGTCTATGAATACTGAGAAGATATTTGTCCTATTTTACGAAATGTCTTTATTTTTATCTTATTTTAAGAATATTTAATTTATGTTTATTCTTATATGTAACATTTATGTTACTTAGATTTTTTGTGTATATCAGAATTTCTAAAAAAACTGTTTATGTTTACAGGAGAGTTGTCTATGAAGAAGGTGAAGGTACATCGTTATGTTTCTGGTAAGCGGCCAGATTATGCAGCAGTAAGTTCAGATGAAGAATCAGAGGATGAGGATTTTCTTGAGAAGCGTGTGCAGAAGGGTTACGATGACGACGTTGGTGCAGAAGTTACTTTACATCCACATATAAGAGGTAGGGACGAGGATGATCCACGTTTGCGAAGATTAACACGCCAACAAAAGGAAGTACCAACTGAGGTACGCGCGGAGAGACACAGACATATTCACGAGCCTGAGCTTATCGAGATCGAGTTGGAAAGAACACGAGAAAGGATCAAGTTGGAAAGTTCTGATTCATCCGAGGATGAAGAATTATCGGATTCGGAGATAGAAAAACGACGAGAGGCCCTGAAGCAACGAGTATTGTCCAGGAAGGAAACGGAGGAGGAATTAATAGAGGGAGAGGAGGAAGATAAATCAGGAGAAAGCTCAGAAGAGAGCTCGGAATATGAAGAATATACAGATTCCGAGGAGGAGACTGGACCGCGATTAAAACCTGTGTTCGTTCGCAAAAAGGATAGAATCACGGTGATGGAAAAAGAGAAAGAGGCGATGCGACAGAAACAAGCGGAAGCTGAGGCAAAGAAAGCAGCCGAGGAACGAAAGAGGCAAACTCTGAGAATGGTGGAAGAGACGGTGCGAAAAGAGACGCAGATGAGCAATAAAGGTAACATCGAACAGGAAAGTAAGCTGAACGATGTTTGTACTGATGACGAGAATGACGAAGTAGAATACGAAGCTTGGAAGCTGCGCGAGCTTAAAAGGATTAAACGTGATCGTGAAGAGAGAGAGCAGCTTGAGAAGGAACGTCTAGAAATCGAGCGTATTCGTAATATGACTGAGGAGGAACGAAGGCAAGAGGCACGACTGAATCCTAAGATGATCACCAATAAAGCGGCCAAAGGAAAGTACAAATTCCTGCAGAAATATTATCATCGTGGCGCGTTTTACTTGGACAAGGACGACGCTATATTTAAGCGCGACTTCTCTGGCGCGACTTTAGAGGATCATTTTGACAAGACGATTTTACCAAAGGTCATGCAGGTGAAGAACTTTGGCCGCAGCGGAAGAACCAAATACACTCACTTGGTGGATCAGGACACGACGCAGTTTGATTCACCTTGGATATCAGAGACAGCTCAAAATCTCAAATTCCACAATAATCAAGCGGCGGGGATGAAGCAAATATTTGATCGACCTTCCTTGAAGAAGAGGAAAGCTGAGAATTAAGTGGTGTAAATACTATATATTGCATTTCCTCATCTTTTTATTTCATTTTTTCTTTAATGTGATAATTATATAAATATTCAATTGTAACATCGAAATATTTTTTTTATGAATACATATAAACTTTTTAATATGTTGTTTGACAAATGTATAATTATTGAAAAGATATTCTTATGATACCTACATTAATATACAAGAACTTTGTATCACATTATTAACTATATTCTGTTCTATAGATATAATCAATTGTTCGATAGATATGATCGGCATGCATACAACATATAAATCTTAGCTGTAGATTGGAGGTACATAACATATAGACAAAGACTTTCTTATGGAAGGAATGGAGCTTTCTATACCCAAAGTGGAGCATTCTATATCCTGTGAGTATTGAATTCTGTGAGTATTGAACATCCAGAATTCAGAGTATTTAAAAATATATATTAATTTTTGACAAAAAACAATATTTGATTAGGGTATATATGTATAAAAATAAATATATTTTGCACATATAACAAAAGATAAAATATTTGTGTTATTTTGAAATCTCTCTTCCCTCCCTCGTTTAGATGATTCCACACAACCCAGAAAAGTCAAAAGTCTTCATCCCTATACATAACTTCTATCTAACAGATTTTTATTTCAGAAGTAACCGAACGTATTTAGTGTTTCTAAAAAACAGGATCTGGCTACAGAGAAAATGGCGCGAAACATACATGCGTATTTGATGTGTTTGGTGTAAATGATGAGTTTCACTACACTTTGATTAGTATCGTCGTGTAGCCATGCTAATCAAAAAGGATATACGCGATAGTCATATTAGGATGTATTGGATTGTAATTAATATATCTCCATGTACATTTACGCACAGTCTTGTTTTCTTACAGTAATTTCGCTGCATCACTTTCTCATTTTTGTATTATATTCTTTTCATTGTACTTTGTTTTTCTTTACTTATGTTAATGTAGAGCCTTAGGCCTTAGGCCTAATTTTTCATTATGTGGTTAACTTATGGTTAAGCTTAACCAGAAAATAAAAAACGGAGATCTTACCCTAGAAATCCTAGAATAGAGATAAACGCTTTTTCTATCTATATAAAATTAAAGAATATGTAAATCAGAGAAATTAAAATAAAATTGCTACGGACAATTTCCAAAATCGGAAATCTGAAATATATTGTTAGATATATTCTTATAATACAAATTTCATGCATTTATAACACATCAATTATTGGTTGGCATAAAAAGGAAAGTTTTTGAAGTTAAAAGCAGGAGAGAGATATTAATCGCCATTTACGATTCATACCTATTTTTTTTATATTTAAATTCCTCTGAATAATTCGATCCACTATAACTATGTTCGGTTGGACGCTCACGCGCTTAATCATCATTCTGTCTTTTATGAGACATAAAATAAGGATGGAAGCGTCCAAACTGAACGCAAAACTTCCAATTGCAATAATAATAAAAATCCAGGAAAGGAGTAGACACTGAAAATCATGCGCTAATACGATTAAAATTAATCTACATTATTATATAATAGAAATATGAGCTTTCGATTGGGACGAGTCCGATTAAAATTGGTCACACTCAATCTTGAGATCTCTTACACGAGAAAAATCATTTGCATTATTTTCCAAATTTCAAACTCGTATGTACACACACGTGCAAAGCCAATTGGTTCAAAAGGTTTTCACAATGCTTTTTTTCACAACTATACATATTTAAACTAATTAAAATAAAATAAAAAAATAAAGCTGAATATTAGATTAGAGCTATATTTATGCAAAGATTGCAATTTGTTAATGGAAATATTACATAAAAATGAAAATCGCTGTAAAGCATGTAAGCGCAAGAATATAAATGTGTGTGCGCACGCGCGCAAGTGTTCGATAACGACTAACTACTATCACTTATAAGTATCCCCCGAGTCACATCACAGCATTTATGATACATTTAGATTGAATCCTACATAGCATATTAGGCATTACATTACTTAAATTAATTAGATTTTTATATAGTTTAACTTTAAAGATATTAAGAGAGGTGGAATTACGACTGTTTGAAGGAAGACCATTCCAAAGATAGAAAGAGTGAGAGTGGAAGTGGAGGATAGAGAAAGAGAGAAAATAAATGAATCAAATCAATACAATGTATTTGATTCAATATTAAATAAATATAAATTTACAAAATAATTTTTGGGATTTTCCGTATTTATTTCTAAAGATTTACATTTTATATTATATTTTCAAAAATTTGAAAAAGCAGTGAAATCTCTAAACAAATCTTTTTAAAAAAAGAAAAAATATACACCAAGTGTATAAAAAGATATCGAATATTACATTCTTCTTAATTAAAAATGGATTCGAAATAAGTGTAATTAGCCAATTTCATATTCCTATTCCCGTATTCGATACCTTTTTATGTACTTGGTGTATGTTTTTTTAAAGTTAACAAAATTTTACATTCTTTACTAACTCGAAAAATCATATGTTTCGATTAATCTTCTAATTATTTCAACGTTGAAAAAACATCAAAAATTTTTTAATATCTTAAATTTAAGAAAATTTTTTCAATTAGCGCATGATTTTCTATTCCCTGTTGCCCGTGTTATTATTATTATCGTTTTCAATTATACACAATCTATTATTTTTCGTTTTTTAAATTATGATTGCATTCCGAAATATACTAATAGCGCGAGACACTTTAGCCGGTGTCTTCTGATAATATTAAAAGTAGATAGATTACATTATACATATATCCTACATATTTTAGTACTGTCAGCACATTTCAGAATGCATCCCATATATAAAGGCTTAAATTAATTAGATGTAAAAAAAAGTTAATATCTATAATTTAACAAAAATTCAAAATTAATAAGAAATTAATGTTTTGTATAAAAAACTGGACCTAAAAATATGTAAACATACAAATAACTTAAAAATATATATTAGATTTTACATATTGATGTTATTGATCTTTATTGATGTTTCCATTAAGATTATTAAAACATTATAAACCTTTAGTTGCAATCTGACTTAAGTCTAATTTTTCATTATTTAGTTAACTTGTGTTTATTATTTAATTAATTCAAGCTTAATCTGATGTTTCACCAAAACATCATCAAAGATAAAGCCCATTAGATAAAACGTTAGGTAGTTAAGTTTAATTACGAGTTAACTAAAAAATGAAAAATCGAACCTTAATCGCAATTTGACGTTTAACTTTTGCATAATTGAACATCAAAGTTTCATTGTATTTAGAAAATGGAAAGTTACTTTTTACAAGTGACTAGTTACCGTTACTCGTTACCAAATAAAAAAAAAACTAGTTATTATGACTAGTTACCGATTTTCAAAAGTAACTCGTTACCGTTGTTTTTCTATTACTTTTTTATAATTTTAAAATTTCTGAAAAACTGAAAAATAAAATTTTTCATGCTTAAGAAAAGAACAGAAAAAATGGGAAAAACACTTTTTTCAGAAAATTTTCGAAAAAAAGAACGATTTTGTTTCATATTTTTCCATATTTTGGATTTTTTTCTCAGTTCCTTTCTTAAAAATAAAAAAATTCATTGGAAAAATTCATGTGTAAAATTCATGTGTTCGTAAAATCTGCCATATTTGCTTCTTTCCATAAAGAAAATAATTTTAATTTTCTACCTGCAATTTGAAAAACAGCGGCTTTTTAAAAATTGTTTTCAACTTTACTCATCAATCACGTGTGAAGAAATCGAGAAAAACCACGATTATCCATGCAATATGACGAATGCACAGCAACAAGTGCCAAACATAATCGTTTGTCAGTCTGCGTAGTCATACGCGAATCACGATATCGTTAAAATGACCTTATACGGTTAATAGTAGTATATAGTGGTTGCGTTTAGCGGATTGTTGCGGATCCGTGAACGCTCACTGCTATTGAATGATTTACGAAAATACACCAATAATTTCGCAACGAACGCTCACGAATCCGTTCCGCAAGAGTTAAGTCTGCTGAACGCGACCAATACTGATCAGTGATTAGTAATATTGAATCAATAATATTGATAGTATGCATCAATATTTTTTAGTATTTTTACAATTTTATACGATCAATATTATTAACAATATATTTCACTTTAGTTTTATTGTACTGTAACATACTGGGTGCAGTCCACTTGGCGCTACAAATGCTTCGGAAATATTTGACTGACCAATCAGAAGAAAGAATTTCATTAATTGACTAATCAAAAAATGCTTCGAAACATTTGTAGCATCAAGTGAACCTTAGCCATTGTGACATGGATCCTAGTAAAGCAATACAGAATCTTACTCGAGAATCAAAATCTAGATCGTCGTCAATGTTATAAATCACAATCCATGTATACTTATGTCACAAATAAGTTTAAAATATAAAAAGTAATGATAAAAATAATTATACGTTATCGTTAGTCACCAAAAAAAAAAGTAAAGCCGTTACCAGTCTGTTACCAAAAAAAAGGTAATTTGTAACGATAACAAGTAACTAGTTACTTCCATTCCCTGATTATATTAGACCTGAAAATATGAAAAAATAATCAGTTTTGATATTCATAAATCTAAAAACATTAACATTTATAAACATTTATTTATATAAGGTGGTTATCTTTGCATGAAATTGAAGGCTTTATTTAGTATAGTTAGAATGATCCGATTTAGGTCAAATATGCATCGTTTTGTTCGATAACTTGTTGCCATTTTGAAGGTAATTCCATTATTGCCTTTCTCATAGAAACCCTCGTCCCTATTGGCAAAAAACTGGGACAGTCGATTTTTACTTCTCTTGAGGCGAATTTTTCACCAGCAAAATCATTCGCCATAGACAGGAACAGGTGGTAATCACTTGGAGCCAGGTCCGGACTACAAGGTGGATGCATAAGAACCTCCCAACCAAGCTCCCGAAGCTTCTAGCGAGTCACTATCGATGTGTGTGGCCTTGCGTTGTCTTGATGGAACACAATTCCTCTCCTATTGGCCAACGCTGGCCGCTTCTGGGCGATTGCTTCCTTCAGACGGTCCAATTGTTGACAGTACAGGTCCGAATTAAGAATTTGGCCATAGGGGAGCAGCTCATAGTAGATGATTTTTTGCCAATCCCACCAAACACACAGCAAAATCTTCCTAACCGTCAATCCTGGCTTGGCCACCGTTTGCGCTGGCTCACCGCGATTAGACCACGACCGTTTTCGCTTGACGTTGTCATAAGGGACCCACTTTTCATCACTATCCGCTTAAGAAATGGGTTGATTTTGTTGCGATTCAGCAGCGATTCGCAGATGGAAATTCGGTCCATGAGATTTTTTTACGTTAACTCGTGTGGCACCCATACATCGAACTTCTTTTTATATCCAGCCTTATTCAAGTGATTCCAAACGGTTTTTTGTGCAATGTTTAGCTCCTGGACAATCGAAACATGACTTACATGACGGTCGGACTCGACGATTTCCATTATTTTATCGACATTTTCGCCAATTGGCCTTCCAGAGCATGGTGCACCTTTGACATCAAAATTACCGGAACGGAATCGACGAAACCAAAATTGCGCGTGATTGACTGTCACAATATCAGGACCATAAACACTATTCACATTTTCAGCCGTCTGGCTTGTGTTTTCGCCTTTATCGAAGAAAAACTGTAAAATATAGCGTATTTTCTCTTTGCTGGTGTCTATCTTTGACGCGCGCTCAAACAATACTGAGTCAAGCAATCACAAAACTGTCTAAGAAGTTTTTTTAGTACGAAATCTTATCTTTCTAACGCAATCTAGCGCAACCCGATTGCACTTATACAACGCGAGATACAGATTACTAAAGCCATCTATTGGAAAAATAATGGATTTCTTTTTACTACACCTTATATATATATATCATGTAAAACAATCTTAAAAAAACTTAATTATTAGGTGTTGGAATTAATTCGTAGCGTTTTACAAGAGATGGCACAAGCAGTACACTATTTCGTTGTTACCTATAGTTCTGTATACATTGTAAACATCTATCATAGGACGTCATTTGCCGTACATAACCTTTCTTGAAATCATAAATAACAATACTGTATAATTCATTGAATATGTCAAAATTTGTGCCAGATAAAGTGTTTTTGCGGGGAGTTTTGCTTCATTACTTTAATATGAACAAAAGTGCAGCTGAAACTCATCGTATTTTAGTGGATGTGTATAGTGAACATGCTCTGGCTGAGCAAACGTGTAGGAAGTGGTTTGCAAGTTTTAAAGCTGGTGATTTCGACTTGGATGACAAGGAGCGACCTGGTCAGCCGAAAAAATTTGAAGATAACGATTTGCAGGCACTGCTCAATGAAAACTCATGTCAAACACTTAAAGAATTATCTACGTCATTGGAAGTTGACTTCTCAACAATAGGAAAACGTCTTAAAAGTTTGGGCATGATCCAGAAGGAAGGACATTGGGTCCCATATGAATTGAAACCAAGGGATATTGAGAGACGTTTTCTCACGTGCGAACTGCTGCTTCAACGGCAGAAAAGAAAAGGTTTTTTGCATCGGATTGTTACCGGTGACGAAAAGTGGATCCATTATGACAATCCAAAGCGCAGAAAGTCATGGGTTAAGCCCGGCGAACCATCAACATCAGTGGCAAAGCCCAATATCCATGGCTCAAAGCTCCTGCTCTGTATTTGGTGGGATCAGAAGGGTGTCATATACTACGAACTGCTAAAACCGCATGAAACCGTTACTGGAGATCTCTACCGACGGCAACTGATGCGCTTGAGCCGTGCATTGAAGCAAAAACGGTCGGAATACTTCGAAAGACACGATAAAGTCATCTTGCTGCACGACAATGCTCGCCCACACGTTGCAAAACCGGTAAAAACATACCTGGAAACACTTAAATGGGAAGTGCTACCGCACCCGCCGTATTCTCCTGATATTGCACCTAGCGACTACCACTTGTTTCGATCATTAGCTCATAACTTGTGCGAGCAGAAGTTCACATCTTACGAAGATTGTACAAAATGGTTCGATTCCTGGATTTCATCTAAAGATGAACAGTTCTTCCGACGCGGTATTCATTCACTGCCCGAAAGATGGTCAAAAGTAGTAGAAAGTGATGGGAAGTACTTTCATTAATGTATTTTTTAATGCTCATGTGAAATAAATAACATTCTTTCATTAAAAAAACGCTACGAATTAATTCCAACACCTAATATTTTTCGAGTTGTAGTCTTTTTAATGCTTGTTTTGCGGCTGCACACTTAGCTTGTTTTTTGTTAACACCGAAACCATGGAAGAGTTTCTCTTTACCAGCAATAGTGATTTTCAAAGGTACCATAATCATGCCAGTGCCTTTAATCAATGTTGCTTCTCTGTAATCACAAATGTGTACATAAATGAATTGTGTGTATGTATGTGTGTGCGTAGTGTGTATAACATTGCTACATAATCATACTCACAGAAACTTAGGACATATGTCTGTATTTTCATATATCACTCGTATTGGTTGTTTAGGAATATTTCTGCTAAATTCATCTATAAAACAGACATTGAAACATCAATATAGCAGCAGACAATTATAGAAACTTTTTTAATTTATTGCTCTAATTATGAGTTCTTGATTTTACGGGAATTACTTTATTTTAGCATTTATATATATATATATATATATATATATACACTGTTAGAAATTTCGTAATAAATTTAAGTAACATGTAACGGAAGCTTGTGGTTAAGATAATTGAAAAGTAATGAATGATTTAATTACTAAAAATACTAAGAACTAAATTACAAATGTAATAAATGTGTGCATTAAATTCATGCAAATCCACATAAAATTTTATGGGAAGCAGATTAAATTTCATAACATTTTTTGTAGTGTATAGTACATATACACACATACAGATATGTATACACATATCGTGGGGTAAAGTATGGCTCAATGCGAAAACAGTTCATAACAAACAAATCCCAGGTTCGATCCCGACTGTCCCCCCCCCCCCCCCCATGTTTTTATCCTTTTTTAAAAGACATTAAGTTAAATAGATCCTAAAGTTATTCTATTAACGATCTAAAGTTTATTTGCAACTTTCGCTGCAATAAATTCCAGCACTGACCTAAAGATACAAAAAAAATCCTATCACTTCTACATGTATATGTATATGTTAATTTTTCTTACCGATTTCCTTATGCATGAAAGAATAAATTATTTCCCACACTTTTGTAAGGTTCTTGCCACTATCAAGATAAATGGCACCAATTAAAGATTCGAATAAATCTCCGAGAACTTTGGGGACGTCAACATATTCTGTTATATTACATTCGTCCTCTTCGATTAACACGTACAGTAACTATATTACAGAGAAAAGAAAGAGGATATATCATTTCACATTTCTTATACTTGCTAAAATTTGCATCACTTGCGTACCTCGTCATTAACCACATAATCTCGTTCTTCTTGGAATCTTACAAAGCAATCAATTATTTCGTGCAATTTTGGAGCATAGGCCAATAAAGCGGTATGCAAACCATGTCGTACTGACAAGCAAGCAAACGTTATATTATTGACAAGTGCTGATCTTAGATCGGTGAGATCACCAGGACTTAAATTAACATCATTTTCGTAAATATAACACGTTATCAAAAAATCTGAAATCATCAAGATGCAATTCATAATCAAATTGCGATTTATAAAAGAATTAGGAGAGATACAAATATTCTCTAGTCTCTCTAAACATTATTATGATGTATGATAATAATATCATATCTATGACATTGCATTAAAATATTATTGTGTGTACACAGAGTCAATATTTTTTACTTACCAAGAATAGCATCTCCGAGAAATTCTAATCTTTGATAACATTCAGTTATTCCATTTGCTGTGTAGGAGGGATGCGTGAACGCCTAAAAAATAGTGTTATTAACTACAGTTTTAATTTTATTAACTGAAAATACACACGCACGCACATACAGTGTTTTATAAATGCATGTTAATGTAATAATTTTAGGAGATAAATCTCTACACTAAAGGTTTTGTGCTGATACTAAACAATGAAAATGCACGAAAAGGATCGCGAAATAAGTTTTCCAGCATTAAATGACTCGGTTTAAGATTGGATGCTACATACACATGAAAGTACACCCTTTTATCTTCATTTTCACGGAACGACAGTATATTCTTTTTATCTTAATTTTTACGAACGACATTCAGAAATAATTATATAATATAACTATGAGGAAAAATGTATGGTTCATGTACGATGATGCTCCATCTAATTTCCATCTTGAACATTCTTAAACAACGTCTTTACAAATCGATGGATAGAGGGAAGCGGATCCACCCTACAGCCACCACGATCTCCTGATCTCAATTCATTAAGTAAATTTTTGTTTTTGGAGCCATTTAAAATCTATTGTATATTCAAAGCCAGTAAACAATGTGGATGCTCTGCGAGAAAGGATACGAAATGGATTTGAAATTATTCAAAGAATATCCAGTATTTTTTTGAACGAGTGCAAAACTTAATGCTAAAGCGTGTGTTGACGAGGCAAAAACTTCAAACATTTTTTTTTAATCATTCATAACTTGAAAACTAAGAACATATGTTCATGTAACGTTTTTTTACTTGTTTTAATGTAATAGATTTACCTTCTAAAGTATTGACATGCATTTATGAAATATCCTATATATTCATGCATAATTCCTTTCAACGGATCACCTGTAGCAAAAATGCTCGATTTTTAAATTTATAACCAATCTTGCTTTCTAAAGTATCAGCCCATGGCATATAGTAGTTGGGATCACCCACGCCAATTACAGGATTCTGTGAAATGCTACCCAGTAACATGTCAATCTTAACATCAGGTAGTATACCAAACCACTTGAGCAACTTTGCAGCACCTTTTATATGGTTATTCTAATGCATAAAGATATTTCTCAGTGTCATAATACACTTGACATAGCGCTACTTAGCTACATTAATACAGTCTTAACGTCTACAGTTAAGACGGTTATATTCAGACAAACTTACTTTGAGATAAACACCAATAAGCGCTTCCACCGAATCCGCCACGGTTTTATCAGATAAAATTTGTACACCGAGATAATGTTCGACGCCAGTTTGCTTATCTCTCTTATCCCAACTTGATACAGTCTGTTTCATCATATTTAATGTATCTTCGCTTATATATCCGGTAAATCTCTCCATGTTTGGTATTAGAAATTCATATAATACATTTGGCGCCACCAATTCATCCATTAATATCTTTTGCAATGGATGGTACACCGAATACGCAGGCGGGATAAAATTGCTCATGGGCACAAATGCATCATTCTTTATACGTCCGGGAATACCTTTTTTATTGCCGCAATAATAAAGATTCCGATTGCCAATCATCTTTCCTTTCAACGCCGTCAATTGACCCTCGTTAAATGTCGGAAATTTGTGATATAAAAATAGTGATACGATAAACTTTAGATAGGAATCGCCTAAAGTTTCCAACCGCTCCAGGTTGAACATATCTGAACCTAATTTAGTGGTCAGCGCCTAAAATTAAATAAAATTGCGATTACATATATGTAATTATTTTAATTATGCGGCATGCAGGGCTCGGAAATTACATATCCGGATTTAATAAAATTTCGTCCTGTTTACGATTATGATACGAAATGATTACTCAACATGAAAAATAAGCTTTCACTTACATGTACAATTTCAATCGAATTAGGACCTTGTGAGAAAGAAGGCTTATCAGACGATGTAAGAACACTCAACGATGGTGTAGATGATATTATTGACCTCTGAATGTAGTGACCAATATTCTTATTCGCATTTTGCTACATATAAACATAATCATTTTAAACACATAATTATAATATTATATAGCTATAACAATCTATTTTACCTTGATGCTCTCATCTTCTTCACAGGTTTCTGACATAAACTGATTGTAATATTGAATATCGATCATTTGAATACAGTCTATATTACGATATAAGTCCCGAGGTTCTTGGTCTCTCATGAAGGGGTTACAATCTGTTTTATAAATATGTGAAAATAAATCCCATAGCAACACAAATATTATAAGAATAGAAAGTCATGATAATATTATCAATTTTTTAAAATTTATATAATATAAGGTATATTCGCGTTACTTGCACTTTTTACATGTAGCATCTTCGTTCTCTCTCTCATCAGGAAGATCAACAAGATATATTAAGGAGAGATTTAGGAGAATGATAAAAAAAACATGGAGTATAGGAGAAAAATTATTAAAAAATTACTTTAGAAGAAGAATGAGAATGTTCGACGCCTCAGTAGGTAGCGTACACAGCCAAGAGGCTGGTAAGAGAAATGGAAGCCTGGATAAAATCTAGAGGAAATATGTCAAATAGGTACTGAACTTAGACGCAAATTACCAAGCCCGAATTATATTCTAACATAGACTAAAATGGATTTGAAAATTGAGGTAATTTGAAAGGATATTGCATATTCGAGGAAAAAGTGAGTATATCAAAGAAAACGCTGGAAGTAGAATGTATCAAAAAGATGAGAAAAGAGAGACCAGAAAAAGAAGAGGGAAAATGGGAATAAAGTTTTTAGAAAATTTAGGAGATGTAAAGCAAATGCAGAAGGAAAGAGAAAATGGAGATACAAAGATAACTCAGATAGTAGGAGAGAGGATACTAAGAAAAGAAACAGACAAGAGGAAAAGGAAAACAGAGGAGTTAAAATATAATGATAATTGTAAGAACATAACGACAGAGAATATATCAGAATATTTTAATGAGGAGAAGAAAAGCATGGATAGAAGCCTGATAGCAAGATACAAGTGTAGAAATGATATGAGAGGAAGCCAATATTGGAGAGAAGCTGGGGATAGATTATGCAGGGTTTGCGAAAAGGAGATGATACATGACAGTGCTAAGAGAGTGCGTTTCTACAAGAGAAGAAATCACAGTAGGGGAGTTTCTAAGAGAAGATGGAAAAAGTTTAACTGTAATGAAAAATATAGAGTAGGAAAGACTAAGAGTACTATTGGTAGGAGAATAATTAAAGAATAGGCCGAAAGGTTTGTCAATGTTTGTTATAGTTTATAAAATTTAAATACGCACCCAAATCGAACAAATTTGGATCTGAATACGTTTCGTCTGATAGCGTTTTTTCGATTGAATCATCCGTTAATTCCAATCCATTAGTATAATCTTCTTCATTCGATCTCTCGACACTCTCTTCTATTTTTAAGGAAGACGATTCTTTCAATATTAACGTTCCTAATTTAGTCTCTCTTGCAATAGTTACTCTCAAGTCTTCCGCAATTAAGATTTGACATATTCTATGAAGAATGGAAGGTAAAGTAGTTGCTTTTAACCAATACACAGATGGAAAATTTATCTTGTAACATAATTCCGGAACTAGATGTTCCTGAAGATCTTCCACTGTGTCATCAGTTTTTTTATTTTTCAGCGGACCTTCGGATAATTTCCTGTAAATTCCGTAAATTAGTCAAATTATACAGATACCATAATGCGATTTTTGCGATTATTTATCATACCTTGGTTTTATATAATTAATTTTAATTGGTATTGGCTTCACTTCTAACATAGATTGTTGCAGATTTTCTATAATCAGTCCATGTTTTTCTTTATAATAATGTGTGTATGTGTCGAAATCTTCATTGGGAAAATATGATTCGGGTGTGAGATCGTCACAGACTCGTGTGACTATATAGACCGCATTGTATCTGTAATTTGGAGCAACAAGTGCTAATTCGTAATCACTAGTCCTAAAGTGAAAAGGTATATTCGGTGTAATTCGTTCTAAATCTTGATATGTTTCAACAATCTCCCAATTTATCTCTTGCTTGTCGTTCACTGAAATATCAGAAAAAAAAAAGATTTGATAGTTTTTATTAGTATCGATATACATTAAACTAGAAACTAGAAACATATAAAGTATAATAGCGCTAGATTATATAATAATAAACAAACTACATACTTACATGGAACAATTACGAAAGAATTTTCGAGATTGTCATTATCAAAAATCATAAAACTTTTAATAACAGGAATAATTTCACTAAACAATAAGAAATTAAACCTCTTAAGCAATTCAATGTTATTTTGACTTAACACTATCGTTGCATGATTAGACTTTACATCAACATTTAATTCACCATCCTTCATGAAAATCGGAAATGAGGGTATCTGATAAACATGAAACAATTGTATAAAACGTATAAACGTGATTAATTAAATTAATTTTGTAAAATATTAGTAAATACGATTTCTACCTTTGGCAACCTCTTCGTGGAAAGAATACCAAAGCCACTCTTGTCATTAAGCAAATTATAAAAGATTACGCGTCTGTTGTCATAACCCGTCACAGGATATAGAGAAGTGCAATCGAAAACATGAAGATACAGTGATCGTAGAGGCTGTGGATATGCACCATAAAATGCTATCGGATACTGCAAAAGCAGTTTTATAAATTAAGAGTTGTTTATATATATTTATAAAAATTATTTATAGAATTATAAGTGTATATATTAGGTGTAGTAAAAAGAAATCCATTATTTGTCCAATAGATGGCTTTAGTAATCTGTATCACGCGTAGACGAGATACAGATTACTAAAGCTATCTATTGGAAAAATAATGGATTTCTTTTTACTACACCTAATATATAAATTGTTATTACAAATAAAATCACAATTTAACATATATAGTATGTATACTTGCTTCTAGCTGATGTTCTCGCTTTCTTTTATATGTACCAGACAGATGACCGTCTTCATTTATCCAATTTGGAAATAAGAAATCCAGATTTTTCGTTAATTCATCATTCGTTGCAGGTAATAGCTTGTCGGTTAATGCACCCAGCTTGTGTAATTGTATGCAAGTCTTCATAGCAACAGATCGTTTAGCACCATCTATACTCCTCATAAAATCACCGTAAATTACATCTTTCAATGGTGATAGATTTGGTAATTTGAGAGAAATCTGTCCGAATTTTTATATAAATATAAATATATGAATAAATATAATACTGTTCATATAAATTATAAGACTTAAATAATAAAGAACAAATGTAATACCCTATACATATTTTTAGAATCATCCTTATCTAACTTCCAAATCGGAACCAAGTAAACAAATTTTGATGTCAGTAAAGCAGCACAATACATATTTATCAAGTCAATCGCGGTAAACTCTGTTAGGCGACTTTTCACAACATCATCACATTTTACTGTATACGGTTCGATATCAAAATCACTATACAGACCATTTACAATATCATCTTGGGTAGGCAATGGACGTTCATTTTTTCCCACCAAGATCTAACAATAAAAAAAACACAATGTATTGATTATTCCTTATTTGAATTGGTTTCGCATGATTATTACATTTTAATGTGCTTTTATTTAGTCAAACCGTTTTTATTAAATTATTACATGATGTATTTCTTTATCGAATTATTATGTTGCCATTGAAATAGATCCATCAAACTATGACAGCATATTCTAATTATTAGCTTGAGGATGAAAAAGATCTTTTGTCTTTCTCATTTTTAAATAATTGAATGTACGTAATTAGCATATGCATGCATACAACATATTATTTTAAGTTAGTTGTTAATATAAATATTTATTTAAATATTTCCGCAGACAAAAAATATTGATACGTATAATAAAAAAGGAAGAATTTTTGATCATATGAAAACAATTCAAATATCAACGACCAAATATACGAGCAATTCAAGATATTTTATTAAAATCTTAAAATTAATTTAACATATCATTAATATGAATCTAACAATAGACGACTCACAGAGTCTTTCTTTCAATATAATTAAATAAACTTATCTATTTCGCTTAACAATATTGTAAATCGAGAATTTTGATCATATGATCGTACGATCATATTTCATCAACAATGTCCTACAGTTATTTACTATTTTAATTACTTACCCGTTTTAATTTCTTTTCTGTATCTTTGTATTGGTGATATTTCTTTAGAAAATCCTCATCATCATTTTCCACTAAAATTAAATAACTACTCAAGTTATGGCGTGCCCGACCCTTACTTTGAACATATGCTCTAAAATCTGTTGGCACGTCATAACGTATTATCAACGTGCACATTGGTATATCGATACCTTCGTCGACCACATCGGTCGCTACGATACAATTTGACGAACCATTTTTTAATCTGAAGCAATTATTTTTTTATTAATTAATTATATCAAATTGATTAAAAAATATTTTTCATTCTTTCTTTCCTCATTAATATAAATACATAGAAATATAGACTGAGAAAAAAATGTATGCATCTGATATGTCCGCAAAATATACAAAATAAATTATTATTTGATTAAAATGTTCAAATCATAAATACTATCTCATTTCAATAAGCATATATATGAAAATTAGGTATCGTGAGCGTATCTAGAAGAAAAGTTTGGGGATTCAAATCTTTGATATCGTGAAATTTTTTATCATTTCATTTTGAGAAAGTCTCGTTAGCGTACATCCTGATAGCACACATCCACTCACATCGGTTGGATGTCTAATTATTTTTTATTGTTTTATTAATAAGAATATTTTATTATTTTTAAATTAGCGATGTACATACTCTATCGAATTCTTCTCTTTCATTTTTAAATGTAAAAAACATACAATTTTACTTTTAGCTTTGTGAGTTTTGCTGTTATATAAAATATTTTTTTCTTATCGTTGTAGAGACTATATAAGTAATTTTTAATATTTCCGTTAGTTCGAACTTTGACAAAATGCGATACATAGGGAAAATTTTCGTAAGGTTTTTGTCCCGAAAAACATAATATAATATATTCTTGTAGTAACTGTATTACTTTTTTGAAAAAGTCTTTAAAAAAATCAGTAAAAATAATATAATACAAAATGTAACATTCTTCCTCTTCAAAATGAGGTACGAGGAGACATTAAAAGTAGTAAAAATATCCAAATAGATTCATTTCAATGTTAAAAATTGTTGTAAATTATAACAATAAAATTGATGCAATGACATTGGCTACGTTCAACAGAAAAAGCAGCTTTGCAACTGTTGTAAAATTCTTGAATATGATTGCATGGGTGCATGGGTTGATTTGAACCCTTTCCCCCCTCCGCCCAAAAAAATTTCATGATATGCCAATGAATATGCTAAGATATTATTTATAATTTATACGAAATTTATCGACATCCGTAGAAAAATAATAAATATGCAAAAAACGAAAGAAATGTTTTACCTTTGCAACACCTCCTTATTCCATTTTGCAATACATGAAACTTCTCTAGTATTTTTATAAGGATTATTTTGAAAGCCAATTACATAATCGGGTTGAAGAAAACTGTATCTTCTATCGTGTGCAGATAGTGTCTAAAAATAATATGAATAAAATGTAGATTTTAAATATTACAAATATTAAAATTAAATTAATAGAGAAAAAGAAATGATAATGAAATAGATGGGGGTTATAGAATATATGATCTTAGTATAGTATAGTTTGCAATGCATTCTGAGGACGATCGTTAAAATTACTTTTTCACAGTCTGCTTAGACATCATAATATAATCATTGGTCGTTAGTTTTTACTGCGTTGTTGTAAAAGCTGCAGTTTTGTAGATAACATATAATTTTATAGATGTGTATTCCTTACGTAATTTTGAGAAGTATATTGATATTAATTTTATAACTTTAGTCTAACTCGGGAGCTTCGAACATAATTTTTAAATAATATCGTGCTTTTCAACAAGAAACGCAATATAACACAGTAATAATTTCATTTAACAATGATAAACAACCAAGATGTAAAAACTCACTATATTACACTGCATCTATATCTCTTGAAAATACCCACAATTGAATTAAATTCGATCGAAATATGTACATATATTCGACCTTTGTTTCCTCTTTAGTTTTTTGTAAATTATGCTTATTCTGTATATAATCAACAAATTTTTATTTAATAATATAATTATCACTTTATTTTTTATTAACAAACTTGGACTGAAAATAGTTATCTCATAGTAGCTAAAAGTAATTATTTCACATAAATATCTACAGTTATTTCAATAAAATAAAATAGTACTTCATGATCCTTTCCTTTCTTCTACTTTTTCGAGTTTTACTAAATAATTCAATTTATTTTTGATTGCTAACGATTATCAATATTAATTTATCATATGGCTGAATATTTTTTAAAAGCAATTATCAATTTATAAAAATATAAAAATATTTAATTTGACAAAAGCTCTCGTAATCAAAAACTATTTAGGTACGAGATGTAGACATTTGAAAGCAAACGCAGTTAGATTTAGCGTATATCTGTTCAATATAACTGAATAATAAGTTTATATAATATCTTTATTAATACGAACATTTCGATTTTTTTTAAGCCATCTTCAGCGTTTTACCACTACTAGTTTTTTATTGAAATATTCATTACTTGGTGAGTTGAGATGATTGCCAATTTGAGTATTGATAACATCCTTAATCAACTATGTGATTAAGATCTAGAGGAAGAATGTGTTATTTTAAACATTTCGAAATAATTATCTATATAGCTGTTTTTTCATTTGTATTCACCCAATATACCAAGTATAACATTGACCACAAATAATGATAATAGAAATTTAATGAAGTTTCATCTTTAGAATATTATGTTAATTCCTTGTCAAAATACAAGTCAAAACTAATTTTGACTTGCATTTTGACAAGGAATTAACATAATATTCTGTCATTGCCAATGATAAATAAATTTTGAGTGTATCAACTATGTTTAAGAAGAACATTGTAAGTCATAAGTAATAAAATATTAAAAAAGGAGAGTTATTATAATAAAGAGTAAAATACAGTCTGACTTGGATTTCCATTTTATAGTTTTTCAAGAATAGATACATAATTGTGATGTAAAAATTCAGTATCGATTTGTAAATTAATTGCGTTTTCTTGAAGTTTTATATGTAGCATTTTTGAAATTGACCTTTTACCTAAGTATTTCTCTCTATCTATAATGCTAACATCATCTCATTTAAATTCATGTCTGTTGTTTAACTTATGTTCTGTGATAACAATTAAATTAAATTATTTGTCTTTCTATTGATTTGATTTTTATGTTCATTGATTCTACTTTTTAATTTTCTTTTTGTCCAACATATGTCGCGCCACAACCTTTACAAGAAATTCTATAAACACATTTTTGTTCATATTCTTCAGAAGGGAGAACATCTTTTTGAGCTTTGATCAACCCTCCCAATTTATTACTATTAAAAATACATGATGTTTGACCTTGATATCCTTTGCAATATTACTAAATCTTTGTTACATTAAGTATGTACGAGGGCAAGTCAATAAGTTCTTAGAAAATCTGTCAGAAGGCACTCACAGTGTCATATCACATTACTTTTTGACAAGTAGCATCTTTCAGCTGATTACTGTCAAATTTTGAGCGGAATTCATCGCGTTTCATTTTTGTAGACGAAAGCGAATAACCTTTGTATTTTTTGCAAAATAGAAAAAAACTAGTTTCGTGCAATGATTAAACATCTACATATGAAAAGTTTAACGCCGAAAGAAATCAAAGTTGAATTAGATGTTCATAGCACATCTGCACCAGCATTTGCGACTGTATATAATTGGGTGAATGAATTTAAACGTGATCGTACATCCACATGTGATACACCTCGTTCGGAATTGAGGCCGTGGCCTACAGAAATCATCGATAAAATCCACGATATTGTTTTGACTGATCGATGAATGAAAGTGCGCGAGCTTGTTGAGGCCACAGGCATATCACATAGCACAGTGATTTCAATTTTGCACGAACAATTGGATATCGAAAAGTTATCGGCAAAATGGGTGCCGCGTTTGCTTACTGTGGACCATAAGCACGACCGTGTGACAATTTCAAAATAATGTTTGGAGACGTTTCAACCAGAATGTAATCCAGATGAATTTCTGCGTCGATTCATTACTGTGGACGAAACGTGGATCCATTACTTCACACTCAAGACGAAGGAATCGTCAAAACAATGGACTTCATCGAATGACTTCAGCTCCGAAGGCGAAGATCGTGAAGTCGGCCAGAAAGGTGATGGCCACAGTTTTTTGAGATGCACGCGGTATAATTCATATCGATTACCTTCCGTCGAAGCAAATGATCAATGGCGATTACTAGCGATTACGCAGTCTTATTGGATTATTTCAATAACATTTTAAAGAAAAAACGTCCCCATTTGGCGAAGAAGAAAGTGCTCTTCCATCAAAACAATGCATGGGTTCACACGTGCCCAGCACCGATGGCCAAATTCAATGAATTCCGCTATGAATTGTTTCCCCATATTGCATCCAGCATATTCGCCAGATTTAGTCCTCTGCGACTATTTCCTGTTTCCAAAATGAAGAAATGGTTCGGAGGAAAGAGATTCATCACCAGAGAGCAGCTCATCGCCGAAACAGAGGCTTATTTTAAAGAGTTGGACAAATTATATCATTCGAACGGCTTGAAAAAATTGGAGAATCGTTGGATCAAGTGTATCGAGCTGAAAGGAGACTATGTTAAGAAATAAAAATGAATCGATCAAAAAAAAAAATGTTTTACTATGTTTTTCTAAAAATGTATTGACTTGCCTTTGTATATATGAAATCGTGAATCATCTTTGTCTTTTATCATTTGTCAATTCATTTTCGTTATTTTCAGATAAATTTTTATTGCTTAAAAATAATTTTTTAATTTTTATTAATGGTTTTTGTATTAATCAAAGATAAAGCCAAGAGGATAATCATTGCTCAAAAAGATTTCTATGATAAATATTAAATTTTTTCCTCTGTTATCTGGGATGCGCTAATAAAACAGCTTCGTCAACCATGTTCATAATAACTCCTCTTTTTTGAGGAGGATGTGACGACATGAAATGAATCTCCCCGAAAATGTTGGTTTCCTATACCAGTCAAACTAAATTATTATGGTTGATAAAAGTCAAATTTAAAAAATTATTAATACTCAAATTGGCAATCATCTCAAGTAATGAAATATTTCAATAAAAAACTAATGATATACGCTAAAGATGGCATAAAAAAAGTCGAAACATTCGTATATTAATAAAAATATTATATAAATATATAATATCACTCAGTTTTATTGAATAGATATACGCTAAATCTAACTGCGTTTGCTCTCAAATGCCTACATCTTATATCTAAATAATTATCAATTTGTACTATCACTAATTAATTATTAATAATCAAATTAAAATCATAAAAAGAAAACTTACTTTTAACATATGATATATGACTTGTGTCATAAATCTTTCCTTGACAAAAATAATGCTGCAGAACTTTTCTTTGCCTAAGTTATTATAATATTTCAACAACATCTCAAATAATTTTTGGATTTGATTACATGAAAAGCTGAAATTATAAAATATTCAATATATATATATATATGTGTGTGTGTGTGTGTGTGTGTGTGTATATTACTGTAACATTATATAAGTTATTATAATGTGTGCAATAAATATTAATTTTTTAATACTTTATACTAACTTGGATAATCGGTCTAATTCTATGCAGCCTTTCATTTCATTATCGAACAATTTCCTCATTAGCATTATTTGCGTAATTAGATAATCCAGAAGAATGTTTGTCATCTAAAAGAAGATCAATAAGTCTGTCAATAAAATTAAGATTAAAAATTGTAGAACACTTCCAAATAATACTTTAATTATAATTTTAATCAATTCATACTTGGTCGTCGGAATATTTTCTCAAACTCTCTAACTGGATTAAATGTAGCAAAGCAGACTTGTTTCCACAATATATGCCTACAATAAAAGTGTATTTCATATGCTGATTGTTGATTAAACATTCTTTTTAGCTATGTGTATAAGAACATAAAAGTTATAAATGTATTTATTGCAGAATTTACTGTACCATTCCAGTACACGCACATAAGCGATTTAATTACCTGCTTGTGATGAAATCTTTCCTACGTCGTCCAAAATAGCCATTAGCTTAGAAGATTTTGATTTAGGTCGCATTTCCTCACTGGATTCTTTATATATATCATCAAAATTAAGTTTTATATTTTTGATAACTTCGTTTGTTGTTTTGATAATATCATTAATTTTATTTATTACTTCTGGAACTAGATATTTCGAATATTTGACGATTTCTTCATTAGGATTTGTACAATAACCTTGGATAGAATCTGTTGATTCTACAGTTGCTATCTTCGCATGAAATGTTACTTCTAAAGTCTACAAACAATGATAACGTTAAGATGTCCAAAGATCATAATTACTATTAACCTCTGCTATACACGCTTAATCGGATTTAATAACATCCCGATTTAACATATAGTTATAAAATCGGCTAATCAGAGCTGTTCCTCGGAAGAATGTAACTGTGATTAGTCAGTTTAATAACTACGGATGTTATTAAACCCGATTAAGTATGCCGTGTAGCAGAAATCATTGATAAGATAATAAAATGTCATTCTTTACCCTAATCGTAGATTCTATTTTATCTGCTTTTATATTAGCGTTCAACAATGTTGCCGACATAGCTAAAACACGTGGATGCTCTTCGTTGGAACAATTTTCAAATTGTTGCATAATTTGTCTCATAGGGTGGTTAGCTACAGCTCTGTGACATTCGTCAAACACGATTAAATTTATTCTATCTAATATTATATATCTGTGAATGAGCAGATTCAGGAAGATTTGCGATGTCATTACTAAAACCTGGATGATATAAAATTGTTGTAATCCATTAATTATTCAAAGAAAAAAATTAGAATTAATATTACAAATTCATACTTCATGTTCTTCTATTTCAGTTATCCATTCTTCTTCCATCCAAAAATCCACCATCATGTCTCCACTATAACCTTTGCATCTTAGATCTGTATGCCTCTTTATGTACGTTGATTGTTGTTCAACCAACGCTACTGTGTTTACAACGAATATACTACGTTTTCCACCTTCTTGATAAGGTCTAAATGTAAAAGAAACTTTTAAAGCCATTGTATACATAATGCCAAGTACATATTGTGATGATTGAAGAAAGACCCAAATCATATCACACAAAAAAAGAAATATTTCCATAGAGTTACATACTTGCGTACATCACGACTTAGATGCTTCAGAAGCATAACAGCTATGTATGTTTTTCCTGCGCCAGTTGGCAAATAGAGTATCATGTTGTTTTGCACTGCCCTTTCATATAGATCTATTTGATATGCTCGCGGTCTAAACATTTCGTTTTCCGAAATGATTTTTGGCTCCATTGCTTTATATCAATTATGATCAATCACTGGTGTTACAAAACAGCTAGAAAAAGACAACACATTCAAATTTAATAACATCTCATTTGAAAGATTGATTAATATAACAACTATATATGCCTCTTAACAAATAATGAATTGTCGAACTGTCCACAGCAAATACCATGTTTATTTATATCTGTAGTACATTTCTATGTATCGAATTTTCATCCTGCTACACTTAATAAAAATTTCTTTTTTTTTCAAAAATATTAATAATGCATTCCACAATTAAAAAAAATTAAACACAAATATCTACTTGTTTCAAAGCAAAAAATACAAAAATGTACATCAAATATTAAAAATTTGCTGCAACAATGAATATGTAATAAAAACAAAGTAAATAAAATTAATATAATGGAGAAAAATATTGGTATCACAAGTTCGGCTATTCTAGGCTACTTCACTATAGAGCTAACCCATAAACATCGAGTATGACATTAAATATTGATATCTTTGCTATCGCATTAATTTTAGAGTTCATTTATTCTATTTTTACAAAAACTTAGAAATTTGATCGATTCAGTCATTAGATCTGATAATCTCAAATGTTCGCAACATGTCAGCATAAAAACGCACTACTGATAATACACAGCCTATGAGTCATTCCGCCATAATGCGGCCTCTCAATCCTCTCAAACCTCTCACCTCTCAGATATCACATGACATACAAAATGTACATTAATATGCTTTCGAGACACTGTCGTCTCCTTGCCTCTTCTAAATCCCCAGAAGATTCCAGAAGGTCGATTGTGTATTTTGAAATGAGGTGAAAATTATAAAAGTGAACAAATTCACTAAATATTGACCAATTAAATTACAATGAATGAATTAAATTATGAATATTCGAGTGAATCTGTTTATTTTTGTAATTTTCACATTTCTCATTTCTAAGATATACAATCGACTCCCTATTAATTAGTCCATTTATTTTTATTTATCTAATCTAATCTATCATAGTATCGTTATAGCAGATTAAAACTTTTAAAACATGAATATGTTATAACTAAGTATCATCTAAGATATAGAGCGAATAATTTGCACTTGCTTCAAATACATCGTCGAGCGAGTACCAAATGTCGACAATCGCTAACAGAATCGTTTAATTGGACTATTAATGGCGGTCAAAAAGTTTCACGAGCTATTTCAAAATTCTTTCTTAATCTTTAGATCCTTACCTTATCTGACAATTTTGTTGTGCAACAAAATTATTTATATGAATAAATCACAAACTTCAAACTTCGAGAAGTAATTAAAAGCACTATTAACTCTCACTGATCAACTGATCTACTTCATTGAGTTTCATCATTTGATGAAAGATGCTTTGTTAAAACGGGGGAGAACCGAACGTTGATATATAGATCCTTTCTCTAATGACTCCAGGCGCTGATATCAATCTACGTCAAATATCATTTCGTCACTCTGATTGGTTGAAGGCTAGGAAACTTTTTTGAAAAAAATGCGAAAACTTTCTTATCAACCAATCCGTATGAGTAACGTATTTAATTGTAAAAAAAAAAGTACGTATAATAATTTCGAACAAACTCCCAATTTAACATGTCAAGTAATAGTCTCAGTATTTTTCTTAGTGGAAAACATCATTAAAAACATATTTTTAATATTATATAGCTGTAGATCGTATATATTTTATAATATTATTAGGTGTTGGAATTAATTCGTAGCGTTTTTTTAATGAAAGAATGTTATTTATTTCACATGAGCATTAAAAAATACATTAATGAAAGTACTTCCCATCACTTTCTACTACTTTTGACCATCTTTCGGGCAGTGAATGAATACCGCGTCGGAAGAACTGTTCATCTTTAGATGAAATCCAGGAATCGAACCATTTTGTACAATCTTCGTAAGATGTGAACTTCTGCTCGCACAAGCTATGAGCTAATGATCGAAACAAGTGGTAGTCGCTAGGTACAATATCAGGAGAATACGGCGGGTGCGGTAGCACTTCCCATTTAAGTGTTTCCAGGTATGTTTTTACCGGTTTTGCAACGTGTGGGCGAGCATTGTCGTGCAGCAAGATGACTTTATCGTGTCTTTCGAAGTATTCCGACCGTTTTTGCTTCAATGCACGGCTCAAGCGCATCAGTTGCCGTCGGTAGAGATCTCCAGTAACGGTTTCATGCGGTTTTAGCAGTTCGTAGTATATGACACCCTTCTGATCCCACCAAATACAGAGCAGGAGCTTTGAGCCATGGATATTGGGCTTTGCCACTGATGTTGATGGTTCGCCGGGCTTAACCCATGACTTTCTGCGCTTTGGATGTCCATAATGGATCCACTTTTCGTCACCGGTAACAATCCGATGCAAAAAACCTTTTCTTTTCTGCCGTTGAAGCAGCAGTTCGCACGTGAGAAAACGTCTCTCAATATCCCTTGGTTTCAATTCATATGGGACCCAATGGCCTTCCTTCTGGATCAGTCCCAAACTTTTAAGACGTTTTCCTATTGTTGAGAAGTCAACTTCCAATGACGTAGATAATTCTTTAAGTGTTTGACATGAGTTTTCATTGAGCAGTGCCTGCAAATCGTTATCTTCAAATTTTTTCGGCTGACCAGGTCGCTCCTTGTCATCCAAGTCGAAATCACCAGCTTAAAACCGTGCAAACCACTTCCTACACGTTTGCTCAGCCAGAGCATGTTCACTATACACATCCACTAAAATACGATGAGCTTCAGCTGCACTTTTGTTCATATTAAAGTAATGAAGCAAAACTCCCCGCAAAAACACTTTATCTGGCACAAATTTTGACATATTCAATGAATTATACAGTATTGTTATTTATGATTTCAAGAAAGGTTATGTACGGCAAATGACGTCCTATGATAGATGTTTACAATGTATACAGAACTATAGGTAACAACGAAATAGTGTACTGCTTGTGCCATCTCTTGTAAAACGCTACGAATTAATTCCAACACCTAATATAATACATACATTAATTCTTAAAATTTTTTAATAAAAATGGATATTCGGTAGGTTTTCTTTTAGATCTGGGAGTCGATTCTATATCTTCAAATAAGGTGAAAATTACAAAAGTAAACAAATTTATTTATTTAGATCGACCAATGAAATTATCAGTATTCTAGTAAATTCGCTCACTTTTGTAATTTTCATCTCGTTTCAAAATACAGTGACTCGATTGAAATTTTTTTCTATCTGAATGTGTATTTTAAAGTGAATACTTTTTTTGGATTTAATTGGATTCAATTGGATTCAATTAGATTCAATTGGATGCAATTGGATTGAAAAACTGCATTTCCTATTCAAAAATTTGAATTGAACATATTGGGTCATCTAAAAAGTATCCGCGGTACTTTGTCACTAGATATATGACCATCAATACACATCTAGTGACAAAAAACCGCGGATACTTTTTAGATGACTCAATATTTACAATGCGTGTGTTTTGCACAGAAAAAGCTAATATTATTTTTAGATTGAAAGGCATAGAGATATGCTCCATGTAATTCCTATAAATGAATAAAAATGCATTCATTGATTGAAAGCATTTATTTTAACATTCGTGAATTAATATTTCTGAAAATCTGAATCCATTTCAATTCATTTCAATCCATTCTCGTTTGCTGGGAGGCGTATCACTTAAATCTGTGTCATATTATGCATTGGAGACTGAGAATTGTGAATTAGAAATTAGAATTTTATCATTTAGATAAATTTAATTTTAATCTATTTTATTTCGATTGGTTGAATTTTAATCTTCAATTTACAATCCCCATAGTATGAAACGGGCTTTACGAATCGTTGTTCAGCCAATCTGATTGGTTGATCAATAAGTTTGTCCGCTTTGCTTGCACTCAGCATCTTCGCTTTCTCTCTTTTCATGCCCGAATACAATATATTGTATGTCTCATTTTAAGTGTAGAAAGTGTAAAAAGTGTAAACAAGTTGAACAGATCAATTGCTCGGCAAACTCATAGCTTGGCAGATCTTCACTTCGTCTTCGTTGACTTGAATGCACTTGACATAATCCAAATTCAGAATCCAATTTGCTTTGTGTCCACAAATTCTACAATGCACAATCAACAGTGCGTAGTGTGTAATGTGCAGTCGGTGCAGTGTGATGTGAGCTTTAAATAGTGCTTGTTTTTTGCGGCTTTAGGAAATAATTTAGATTTATTACTGAATTTCTTACACTTAATTTGTGTATCTGAGATACACGACTGCTATAAAGAGAAAAAGAAAATTTTAGCAGTTCTCGAGCACCTTGAGATTATTCGACTATTCGAAAAAAGAATATATGTTTGAGCACGATTGTATAACCTAAAATGGAGCATACTATGCCATTTTTTCTAACAGTTGCGCAACGTATATTCAGTAATTGGACAGCATTAAAAGTAAGTATTTTCAATCTTTAATTTCGCATTAAATTCTCAAAAGTAGATATCTTTTGTGTCTCAAAATGTTAATCTTTACAGGAAAGTCACTTAGTGGCGCTGAAACAATATCATATTTTGAAACAGATGTACAATAAATTATAACAAATCTTAGGACAATCTATGCACAAAAAAAATATTAGAGGCATAAATAAACATTAAGTATTAGAGAAATAAAAAGATTACAAATAGAGATTAAACAATGCAATGAATACAAATAAGATATGTCTTATTATTTGTATTAATTATATATTATGTATAATCTATTCCTAATTTTTTATTTCTCTAATATTTAATATCTATTCGTATTTTTAATATTTCTTATATTGTGGATAGAACCTTATTTATAAAAAAGCAATAAGACTTTAAAAATCAATCTCTTTGAAAGATTAATAAGTATTTCTTTTATTTCATCAAATTCTAAAATGTTTATATTTTTATTACATATAAAGCTTAGTAAAAACAAAGAAATTCTATATCTATTTTAAACGTAGGAATATTTAAAAAATTATTTGTATAATAAAATTATATATTTATTTTTATAGTTGGCAGTGGAACATGATATGGGTTCAGTAGAATGTGCAAGAGAATTTTGTTCATATATGACAGAAGTATTATATATAAATGGTTATTTTTGCTATTTTTTAAAAACATATAATATAGTGTTATACAATAATGTATATTGAATTAATTTTATTGTATTTTTCTAGAAGGACTAATCAGTAGCGAGATTGCATCTGTACTAGACGATTATATGGATGATCAATTTAATACAGAAGTACAGGACGACAGCATTATGCAAGTAGCAGAGGAATTGTTAAGGTTTCATCGATATTGCATGGAAGGCAATGAATCTACAGCAAAAACGGAATTTGAAAAATTACCACCATTGCAGTCATGGTTGTACTCGGAACAACCATCTCAACCTATTAGTTCTCAGCCAGTAAAACATCAATCCAGCAGTTCAAATGAGGATATGGACATAGATAAGAATGAACAAGAGAATGACGAATGGACAGTAGTCACAAACAGGCGAAGCAAATAACTTCTAAGTTCTTTTTATATGAAAGATATCTTTATTTAGCTATTTTTTGTGTGTATATAAAAGAATGAAAAGACCCAAAAGGAGAGGCAGGCAGGCATATAACGTTACAACGTAATATGCGCACATTCGTTCCACAATCATACGAATTTTAGCGCTATTATCAATTATCTACAAAAATATTTTCACCTAAGCAGCCTTTTGAAGCATTGCTAAACGTCATTTAGCAAGTGCATCTTCTGTATCTGGAAAAGAAAAATAAAAAATGAATCTGTTTTCGTTTATATCGAAAAATTGTGTTTCGTAACATTAAAATGTCAAAGATACTACCTTTTCCATTTTGAGATAGATGGACGGTATAATAACCATTGTGATATTGCATAGCTTGGCTTTTTTTCGGACTATCTTGCCTTCTTTCACCTGGTCCCGCCAAACTTAATATCACCGGTAAAAATAACATTCCATGAAACAAACCAAATGTCACTACGGACGTGATCAACTAAAACAATATAAAATATGTGATATCCGTTTCTTTGATAACAATTATACTTTCAATGTTATACTCATACCTTGAAAAAAGTTATGAAAATATAAGCCTGGCTGAAACCTACCAGGACAAAGGCAAGGAATGTACTTAATCCACCATTAAACACTGCTGGTCCGATAACGTTAAACGTCGTTAGTGCTCGTTCTACAAGTATGAAATTAGATGTTAGTTTTACAAGATGAGAAATTACAATAGTATTCTGAGGCTATGCATTATTGAAAAATCATATAATATTTCATAAGAGATCTTAATTACTATCAAGATGTGTTATTTATAATTTGCAATTTCATTCAAACTGTTTATTTAATAATTTAAATAATAATCTGTTTAAATTTCTAATCAATTATATTAAAAAATCTTACAATAATTGCAAAGCTACTTTTTCTACTGAATACAACCATTGATAAATTTTATCG